TTATAGGATTACATAGTTAAATGGTTACTTAATTAGTTATAAATTTATAACATCATATTATAAACATTAGTAATTACTATATTATATTTATACATTACTTAATAATAATTAAAATTTTAATTAATTATAATATAAAATTAAATATCTATAATCTGATTACTTAGTTCACTATAACATTACATTATAGTATGATTTAATTAATTATAACATTACATAATTAAATGATTACTTAATTGATTATGACATTATATTTAAATATTAATAATTACTAATTTACTACATAAACATAGCATAATACTTAATAAATGATTAGAAATTTAATTAATTACAACATTACATTAAAATTTTAGTGATATGGAATTAATTGTAACATTACATTATAATAAATGATTACTTAATTAATTATAATATTCTATATAAACAAATTAATTAATTATATTAAAAACTTATGTATGATTACTTAATTCATGTAACATTTCACTATTTCATTATAATATGATTAGTTGATTACAAATTAATTATAACATTACATAATTAAATGATTATTTAATGATTATGACATTATATTATAAACATTACATTATAAGCAAAATGATTACTTAATTAAATGATTAGAAATTTAATTAATTAAATATACATATAGTTAAATTTATTTATAAATTATAACATTATATACATTATAAGATCACTTAATTAATTATAGTATTACATAGTTAAATGGTTACTTAATAGTGTATAAATTTATAACATCATATTATAAAACATTAGTAATTTACTATATATATTTATTACATTACTATTAAATAATTAAAATTTAATTAATTTAATTAAAATTAATATATATAATTGATTACTTAGTTCACTATAACATTACTTATAGTATGATTATTAATTAATTATAACATACATAATTAAATGATTACTTATGATTATGACATTATATTATAAATATTAATAATTACTAATTACTACATAACATTAGCATAATACTTAATTAAATGATAGAAATTAATTAATTACAACATTACATTATAAATTTATAGTATGATTATGTAATTAATTGTAACATTACATTATATAAAAGATTACTTAATTAATTATAATATTCTATTATAAACAAATTAATTATAATATTATTTAAAAACTTATAGTATGATTACTTAATTCATGTAACATTTCAATTTCATTAAATATGATTAGTTGATTACATAATTAATTATAACATTACATAATTAAATGATTATTTATTGATATGACATTAATTATAAAACATTACATTATAAGCAAATGATTACTTAATTAAATGATTAGAAATTTAATTAATTAAATATTACATATAGTTAAATAATTATTTAATTAAATATAACATTATTATATACATTATATTATGATCACTTAATTAATTATATATTACATAGTTAAATGGTTACTTAATTAGTTATAAATTTAAACATCATATTATAAACATTGTAATTTATATATATTATTTATTACATTACTTAATTAAATAATTAAAATTTTAATTAATTAATATAACATTAAATATCTATATCTGATTACTTAGTTCACTATAACATTACATTATAGTATGATCACATAATTAATTATAATATACATAATTAATGATTACTTAAATGATTATGAGTTATGATATCATGTTTAAACATTAGTAATTATTAATTTACTATAAACATTAGCACAATACTTAATTAAATTATTATAACATTACCTTTAAATATTCATTATAAAATTAATTAAACATTACATTATAGTTAAATAATTACTCAATTAAATTATAACATTATTATATTAATTATATTATAATCACTACTTAATTATAGCATTACATAATAGTTATGGATTTTAACATTACATTATAAATATTAGTAATTTATTATATTATATTACTTAATTAAACGATTAAAAATTTAATTAATTATAACATTATCTTATATATTTATAATAGATTACTTAATCAATTATAATATTCAATTATAAACATTAGTATATTAATTAAATGATTTGAAATTTAATTAATTATAATATTAAATTATAGATTTATAATATGAGTACTTAATTCATTATTAATTACATTATACTATTATTGTATGATCATATAATTAATATAAAATTACATAATTAAATGATTATTTAATTGATTATGACATTATATTATAAACATTAGTAATTTGCTAAGTTACACAATACTTAATAAATGATTAAAATTTTATTAATTATAACATTACATTATAAATTTATGGTATGATTACTTAATTAATTATAAAATCTTTATAAAAAATATTACAATACTTAATTAAATGATTAACAATTTAATTAATTATAATATTACAATAATTAAAATGTATATTACTTAATTAATTATACATTACAATTTACATTGTAGTATGATCACTTAATTAATTATAACATTACTAATTATAATATTAAATTTACTAAATTATATTAGTATATTATAAATACCCAATTGGCCAATTATAACATTAATTGTGATGAATAATTGTTTGTGTTTTGGTTTTGATTGACGAATATATGTAAATTGTGATGAATTGATTGAATTCAAGTGTTGCTTAGAGATTACAGGTTATGAGTTACATTGGACACAAATGAAGAATAATCAAAATTTGTTAGGGGTGTATTTATAAACTTTTAAGGTATTTTGTTATTTTTCAAAATAATAGCGGGTAATTGATTTTTTATGGGTACCCGGAAAGGAACCAAAACCTGCATTTTAGGTTCCGGTTCCTTGAATTGAAGAACTACATGTGCGATTCCGATTCTGATTCTTTTTTTTCAGAACCTATATTGTGGGTTTTGGTTTGATTTCTCCGAAAAATAGAGGATACCCAGAACCGTTTACCCCTAATAGACTCAAATGAGTTGTTATAAATTTAAGTACAGAGGCGACTTGATTGGTGAGAAGCATGCGAGCTAAGTGTGAACAACATTAAAATGTATGTACGAGTGACAGTAAAAGGCATAATATTATGATAATAAAAATGTGTTTGCATCTAGAAGGAAGTGGCTAGATTTATTACGGTCAGCATATGTTACCTGTAATCACTGTGACACTGGACCATGCGTGCAGGCAATAGATAAAATCGGCAATCATTGCCACTTCTTTTCATGTCTTGCGTCTAAAAAGATGCAGATTGGATTCATAACTAGAACAGAGCTCCAAAGAAAAAATAATAGATGGCCAATACAAAGGAAGAAAGTATTTTCTTGATCACTTATTTGTAAGTAAATCATGGGATAAATGAAGCGAAAAACGAAAAATTTTCTTACCGATTAGTCTTATTAACCTAAGATTAGGGTTATGTATATATTTTAAATACTTAAATTGAAAAAAAGTCAACTATAACATTAATCTAGACAAGGATCAGAGATCTTGTGCATGTTTGGAGGCTCCTTCAAATATCTCTTAATCTAATTCACCACCAATCCAAGAATATGATCAAATGAATGGTGATTCATACAAAGATAATCCAAAAAATCAAAGAAGGATTTGTTAGATCCTCTTGACTTCAAGAATCTAACTTTAAAATCAAAGAAAACTTTGATTCAAAATGAAAGGCAAAAACGTGAGAGCAGTAGAGAAAAGGGCTGCCTCTTTTCTCTTCTTTTTTCTTTGATTGAATGAAATATTATCTCATTTTTTAACACACATATACTTATATAGTACATATGTCAAAACCTTATTCTATTGAGGAATAGGCATGGATTCCAACCTTTGTATCCAAACACTCCTCTTATGGTATTTTTATTTTAAATTAATTATTATTATAATTAAAGTCAATTAATATATTTGTGAAATATATTAACATTTAATTAACAATAATAATTCATTTAAATATATATGTACATATATTTAAATATAATCTCCCTTATTTAATTTTAACATTAAATTAAATATAGACAACAACCTCAGCAAATTTAATTACACTGTGAGATTACCAAAATACAATTTCGTCATAAAAGACGAAAAAATGCCCATTGCACAAACTGATTCTTAAATTATCTTTTATGTGTGTGACCCGTAGGCTCCTCATCATATCGACAGTGAGTAGTATTACGATTAATACCAATTAAACGTCTCACTATACACAGACCAAGATTGGCTTTTAGCAAGGCGTCATGACCACCCGATAAAATCAGATTCAGCGAAACAGCTACTTGTCAACGATATGGTTACCGTGCAATCAAATCATTTCATTATTTGTTATCTCATCAAGACTGAAGTACAAAAATAGTGTCAACCTCAATTACTCTCGATGTGTTTGTATTCAGTTACTAGACCAAAGACCGAAATGATAAATTGGATTGGACAACAATTCAATCCCACTGTGGCCACAGATTTAGTGTTATTGTCATTTACTGAATTGCGTAGTGAGATAACTTCTCCCATACCTGGAAGTAATGAGTCTTCTGTCGATCCACCATTGTCTTGATACACTCCTTGATGTAGCCAATCACTACCGTATTGATAGCTTTGAATAGAACTAAGTTGGGCTAGTGTCAAACTACACCAATCGGTGCACAAGTTGCTCCGGTAATCTCAAGTCTAAGGATCACATGCACCACCATTCATTAAAGGATTTATTCCATAGACACTGTGGTTACCATTTATATGTGATCCTTTGATGGGTCAGTCTAATGAACTTGCCTACAACGAGCACCCATGTGTTGCACCAGGTGGTCGACAAATAACCTTGACAAGTGAGATCAATTACTATCTTTCGACATTATCGTTTAATACTATGATAGTCTTACCGTATTATCTGTATCCTTGATCAGAATAATATTGAGGCTACAGATATTTCTAGAATTGCCATCATATGTGCTCATAAGGTTTTCACTATCAAGATTTGAAATACTTGATACCCTCGTCACTGTTCTACCATCCTAAGGACATATATAAATACATATAGATATGATTTGCACGATATAGAATAAAATGCATTTTATTGATCAATGAACATTATTACAAAGAATCAATTTTATAATAATTTATTGATTTTAAGGTACCTACTCTAACATTATTAAGTAGTGGAGAAAAAGAATCACTCAGTACAAAAATTCAAAACCTGGTATACAGAGTTCTTTTACCAATAGCCTTTACAAGAACACTCACCATCCTTGAAATGGTGAAACCTATTCCTGTCCCTTACAATAATCTCTCTGTTAAATAGTTTAGAAATAGTCATTGTCCAATCATGACAATCCCAACAAACTCTGAGGTTCTTCACAATTCTAATGGGCACACCTTCCTTCACACTGATCAAACCAAATGCAATTGCAATCCTCTCACTATGTTTAAATAAAGCATGCTCTTTCTCCTCTTCTTCTATATCAAACAGCACAGGGTTCATGTTTGCAACATATCCAGCCATTTTCAGCCTCCTAGAGATTTCCTCCAACATAACCTCAATTTCACCATACCTTGGGTGGGATTCATCCCCAGCAAAGAATTCATGAACTTCTCCATCAACCTCTATTACACTACAACCAGGAAGTTTCCTCAAACCTTTAGCCTTCATTATTTGACGTACATTATCAACGCTATCCCAGTTTCTTGAATCAGCATATATATTAGACAGGAGCACATAGGCGGCATCATTCTTGGCCTCAAGCTCCACTAGCTTTCTTGAAGCAAGCTCACCCATTTCCAAATTCTTATGCATTTTACAAGCATTAAGCAAAGCTCCCCAAGCACCAGCATGTGGCTTCATGGGCATGTTATTGATGACATTCAAGGCCTCATCTAAGCGCCCAGCTCGACCATATAAATCCACCAAACAACCATAATGCTCAAGTTGAGGCTCAATTCCGTACTCCTTTTTCATGGAATCAAAATGCTGATGACCTTCATCAACGAATCCAACCACACTACAACCTCTTAAAACTGAAACAAATGTGACCTCATTAGGTCGAACCCCATATTGTTTCATCAGTGAAAATAGCTCGAGACACTTCTTTCCCGCTCCATTCATAGCCAACCCACCTATTACACTAGTCCATGTATATACATTCCTTTCTCTCATACCCCAAAAAACTTCCATGGCCTTATCCATATTCCCACATTTTGCATACATGTCAATGAGTGCAGTCCCTAATGTCACGGTCAATTTAAGCCCTTTTCTTTCAATATAAATGTGTGCCCATCTCCCCTGATCAAGGGCACCTAAATGACTACATGCAGACAAAACAGAAACCATAGACACTTCATTAAGCTTAACACCTTCAACCTGCATCAAATGAAATAATTGCAACGCCTCCCTTGACCGCCCACATTGCGCATAACCTGCGATCATTGCATTCCACGTGATGGGGTCCCTCTCAGGCATTTCATCAAACATCTTCCTTGCAAAATCAACATTACCGCACTTTGCTAACGCACTAATTAATGCTGTTTGACACACCAAATCAGGTTGAGGAATTTCCTCAAACACCTTGTGACAAGAACTTAAAAAACCCAATCCAGCATACATGAAAATCAACCCACTTTGCACATGCGGGTCATTGTCAAACCCGAGCTTTATAACCGAACCATGAACCAACAGAGCAGTCTCGGGTGACAAAATCTGTGCACACGTGCGAACGAGGAAATTAAAAGTGTAATTATCAGGCGAGATATAATCACTAGATTCTAGGATTCTCTTATAGAAATGAAAGCTTTTATCTGGGGTTGAGCTTTTAGAATAAGCTCTAATCATGGAGTTTAAGGTGAATAGAGTTGGGCTGTGACATTTTTCAAGGACTTGATCGGAATAACTGAGATTGTTGGGGTTATTTAGGGCAATTGTGGCAACAAATTGGCCCAGAAGGTGAGAGTCGTTGAGAGTGCCGGTGATAAGAAGTTGAGCGTGGATTTGCTTCAGTTCTCTGAGGGTTGTGGTTGGATCCACTAAAGAAATTATTGGGTGCTTTACAATGCTCCTTAAGGAGCTCATGATGATTGGCAAATCAAGGGTGAGTGTTTGTTTAACTGGGGATTGAACTATGAAGGAGTTTTGACTGATTTTCCCGCGTTTTCGGAAGGCGGGTTTTTGTCTGTTAGGAATCGGGAGTTTATATTTATAATTTTGTGCGTACCCATATCTTTAGATTTATCTCATTCTCACCCCGCAAATCTTAAATCTGCATTAACAACATTTCGCATTTCAGATTAATAGGAACTAGATCTATTTGAGGAATAATTCAATAATTTGATAAATTTATCTCATAAATATCAAATTAAATTTAAATTATATAGTTGATGGAAGATCCGACGAAGAAGACACCTGGAGTGGTTGATTCAAAAATCAAAAAAATTATTACATTCTCGAAAAGGGTGTAGTGTTTTTCAAAAAAGAATCGAAGACAGGCTACAGCAGCATTGCATGTGGCAGACAAAAGGAAAACGTTTTTTACGAAATATTCCTCACTACTGTTTTGGTTGAATGAAGCTGTAGGCCTAATAATTCCTTGATTACCAATAACTAATTCATATAAACTGCATTGCTCCCCAATCGCCATATATATTCTTCTGTACCTAAAAGCTAATACCAATCATCAACCCTTTCTCTGCAAACCAAAATATTCGTCAAAATATGTGGACATGGTTTTTGAGGATATATTGTGTTTGAATTCGATAGAGTTGAAGTTTTAAATAGCACCAGTGGTTGTAGTTGAATTACAAGTAGTATGCATTCTGAATATATGGGCCAATATTCATCTATAGTTTTACAGCATTTCCCCATTAAAATGCTATACCAGGAAAACATTGTGCATGAAGAAGCATCAGTTTTCTATCAGATGGCACTTTTGTTTAAAATTCCTTTCGTCCAAAGATAGCATAAGGACTAGAAGTTAACAGATCGAGAAAGCTTTTTATTGTGTTTCACTTGTATTGATTCCCAGTTTCGTGCCCGGGACCATGATTAATTAGTTATGGATTTATACGAATCCCTAACCTAATCCATCAAAATGGACCCATTACAGTACAGTAGAACTCATGAATCCGTCCATGGTAGATGTTACAATAAAATATTAGTATATTTTTTTTAATTACTTGAGACCCTATAAGTTTATTAATTTCATTAAATACCCCTAAAAAAGTTTAAAAACTAACAAAAACACCCCCACCTACCAATACCTGCCAGATTCAGACAACCACCATCAGTGGTAGCCGGAATTTATCACAATAGTCACACAGCCACCGGAAATAGCCGGTAATGGCTAGATCTGACCTTTTTCGGCCAGATCTGCCGTCAACAATGGCCAAAAAAATGGCCGTCGTTTCAGCCTTTTCCGACCGTCGCAGGCTCGCAGCCACAACAGTTGCATTTACATTATCATATTCAGCAGTTGCTTACCAGCAAGAAGACACAATAATTAATTAAAACGTTTAAAAGGTTCAAAGTTCTTTCTTGATCAATTCTAGGCAATCTTTTATCCAGATTTAATTAGTTTAATATTTTCCTCTTATAAGTTTCTTCTTCAACCCAATATTAAAAAGTCAATAAATTCTGATATGTGAAGCTATCTGTCAAAAGCATTACAGCTATATATTATTATTATATTGAAATTTGGAAGGCGAGAGATTGGGGCTGTGGGAACCCTTGGACTTGGATCCAATAAAAAAAGATGATTTGGTCATGTTTCGTAATCTCTGATTATGATGCTTGAGAATGAGAATCATGAGGTCGTAAATGGGTTTATTTTTGGTGATGTGTATAAGAAAAGTAATTATAACTATTAATTTGTAAAATCGATAACCATAATAACGGTCAAGCTTATCCCACATCTCACGAGTCTAATTTAATCCAATGGTTGCCACATCAACTGTAGATGATATTTTTTTATAATTAAGGGTGCCTTGGTTTTATTTTTCCATACCATATTCCCAAAATACTTGTTTGGTTAATTATTTGAGGAAAATACTATTTTATTTTTTAAATTATTTTTAGACCCCTTAAGTTTATTAATTTAATTAAACACTCATAGGAAAAAAAGTTTAAAAATTAACAAAAATACCTTCATCCACTCATAGTTGCCAGATTCGATGGTTGCCGGAATCTGTCACAACGTCATAGAAACGACCGAAACTAGCCGATAATTCACCGATCTGGCCGTCGTTGATAGTCAACAACGATCATATATTTGGTTGTCGCTAACGACCAAATCTGGCCTTTTACAGTTGTCGACGGCCAGATCTGGCCGTAGCAGATTCATGGTGGATCTAGCCAGAAAAGGCTATGTCGACGTACGACTGGTCAGATCCAATTGGTCTGCATCGTAACGCCATTTTTCTGTCAAATTCCGATGGTGGTGACCGGAATCTGGCACTGTGGGTGAGTGGACGGGGATGTTTTTGTCATTTTACAAAATTTTAATATATTGGGGAGTTTAATTAAATTAGTAAACCTAGGGGATTTTTTTATTAATTTTTAAATTTTATCTCTTAAAATCACCATGTTCAACTATCCAATATTATTCTCAAAATCTTATTCAAAATAACAAAACAATCGCATCCTAAATTTTTAGCCTGATAATAGTATTACAATAATACTATATTTATAAAAGAAATCTTAAAAAGATTTTTATAGTGATAAAAAGTGAATAAAAAAATCAAACAAAAAATTAAACTAGTTAAATTTACCATTTTATTCATTTTTTATTATACTATCTTATAAAATTTAATTATAAATATAATATTACACTATTACTCATAACATTAATACAGTAATTGGTTGCAGAGGAGTAGCTGAAGACAAAAAGATGAAAGCAGCGTAACAGAAAAAAGAGCGTTTTAGAGTGACATGGGAAAGGGGAAGAGGAAAACGTGGCGGAATAGAGAAGAGAGAGTGGGGGCGAAGAGTGAAGAGACAGGGGGCGCTCCCCATCCGAAAAAGGAGAATGGCCTCTTGGACGCTTTTTAATTTTTAAATAAAGAAAGAAAAGAGGAAGGGTAGTGAGTCATCAGCTAGCTCCTCCATTTGATTTTGATTGATTAGACAGCTTTCTCTTGTCTCAATTCTCCTCGTTGTCATCTACATCTCCTCTCTATTTCACTTACCTATTTGCCCCTACCTTCCCTTTTCCGTTTTTGCCCTTCCTTTTTTTTTTTTTTTTTGGCTCCTCTCTATTTCACTTACCTATTTGCCCCTACCTTCCCTTTTCCGTTTTTGCCCTTCCTTTTTTTTTTTTTTTTTGCTTTAATTAACTTTTATTGCAACTTTGTCAAGGTTTTAGTTCTCTCAAATCCTTTGTAAAAATAATAATAATAAATAATCACATGTCCTGAGATTTCATAAGCTCTTAAGTTCGAGTCTTCCAAGATACTAATAGCAATATTTTAATAACCAATCTGAGGTGACACACGACAAAGTTGCTAGGTCTCAGGTTGACCGATTTAACCCGAGTCAACAACCCTCCCCATTACCACAAAAATACTCCCCTCAATCTCTTGATCAAAACTCATCTCACCCCACCCCCATTCACCTCCCTGTCACCATGAAAATACGCCCCTCAACCTCTTGACCAAAACCCGTCTCACCACACCCCCATTCACCTCACCAATCACCGGTTGTTGTCGTTGCCCATTTTTTTCAATTTTTGGTTGATTCACTCATTGAAAATCGCTGTTGTCGCCACCATTGCACTCATTGGAACTTCCTTTTCAAAAACCCCAATATCTCGGCATTCAATTATACGTCGATCATCATCCCAAATTTTAGGGTTTTCGGTGAATAAGAAAAGTGGTAACCCAACCGGTGAAGGCTTCAGGTCCTAGTTGAACTGATTTAACCAGCTAGGCTAGGCCGGGTTTTAAAACACTGACTAATAGAGGTGCCACTGGGGCTCTCACTTGATAGGTAGTTTCAGGACCTCAGGGAATTAGTTGAAGTACGCGCAAACTAGCCTAGACACTCTCGATGATAAAAACAAAAATCCTTTGCAAAAATTTAATAGTATTGTTAAGATTATAATTAAATCCTAACTTGTAAGCCAAGCATACCCTCAAACTGTCAAAATAGATGATGTTTTGTCTAAGTTAAATGCATTTATTATAACATATAGAAAAATACTACGTTTATAATTCAATCTCACAATCTTCTCTTATAACCCTAACATGATAGCAAAGTTGACACTGTTATGTCAGCTTCCACCACACCCAAGGCACTAAATGACTTTGATTAGTCATGAACGGTCGTTCCTTATGAAAGAATGAACGCTCCTTATGAAGGAATGACTTCCTTCTGTGAAGAACGACATTTCCTATGAATGAACATATGTTTCTTAAGTCTAATCAAAGTCATTTTGTTCCTTGGGTGTGGTGGAATTGAGACAGTGCCAACTGAACTGCCACGTTGGGATTGTAAAAGAAATTTATGAGATTGAGTTGTAGGCGTAATATTACTCTTAACTTATACTCAAAATAAAAAATGTAATTTGTAACATTTTTGTTGATAAAAATGTAAAATCCCTACTACACACTCTGATTTTGAGGGGTAGTAAATAGACAAATGAGAATTTGGTGGGATAGTTAAAATTAGGCAATCCATGTCTTTAATCATGGAGCTACATTTTTGGGTTGGTGTTTCTTAAAAGAGTAATGCTATAGTTACCGACGGGTGTGCACCGAATTTGTACACCGAATGACGTGGCTAAATCCTGACTGTTTATTTATTATCAATTAATATTAATCAACCGTCCAGATTTTGTTACGTCATTCGATATATAAATTCGGTGTAAACTTTTCGGTAACCGTATCATTTTCCTTCTTAAAACTAAGAGGTGCTCCCTTGCTTAACTGCATTGGAATCTATGTAACCAAAACCCACATTCAAACAAGTAATTTATAAAAGATTGTGCTCCTCTTTATGCCTAAAACAAGTAATTAGAAAGGTTTCTTTTTTTTTTTTTTTTTTAACACTTTAAAATTGGAGAAAAATCCAAATACTTTCTCTCCATTTCAACTTCTATTGATAAATAGGATTTGCATCACCGTAGACCAAGATGAGTGAAAGCCTAGATAATTTTACTTCACAAGCAATCCAAAGGAAGACTAAATTTGCACTAGGGTGATTATTTTTTCTTTTAATTGAAAATTAACCCACTCTGAACAGTTTTTTTTTTTTTTCCACAAGATAGTCTAACCTCATTTTTCACATTTTTTAATGACACAAATACCCCTAGACTACATTTCTTTAAACACTTAAAACAATCTGGTAATTCTCTTATAATAAAAAAATCTCTATTACTCCAATCTCAAACCAAAAAATAAAAAATAAAAAAAATTAACAAACTAAAATCGACAACATACCTCTTATGAACGGGCACTGATAACGAATTTTTTCCTAAAAATTTAAGGGTTATGGGATTGTTGAGGGAATGTGTAAGATTTGTGAAGTTCGAAGAGAGTGAGTTACTTAAGAGAGATGACGATATTAGGTTTATATATGGAAGGTAAAATGGTAATCTTGTAGAGTTAGGAATTATCTAATACAATAATAATTGGCTCATAGTCTTATTTTATAAACTTTCTCTTATAACTCCGACGTGATAGCTTGTAATTAAGCAGACGAGACTTATTGCGAGCTGCTCGCACGTTAGATTTATAAGAGAAAGTTTGTGAGATTGGATTGTAAGTGTAGTATTGTCCTTTCTCATATACTTGGGATATATTAGTTTTCAATCCAACTTAAATTAGGACTTTTTAATATAATTTCTCTTAAAATATCATTATTTATTTATTTAATCTTTTTATTTGTTGTTACAATGTCCCAAAAAAAATTTTAAAATGCAAGGACATGATGGTAACTTGACGAACCGTCCATGTAACTTCCCTAGAAGAAAAGCAAGAAGCCCTGTCCCAAGAAGCTTGTTATAAACCCCATCAGCCCCATCGTCCCTGAGAAGATTCTCTCTTTGGCTCCCCCCAAGTTTTCTACTTTCAATTTCTTTCTTATTTTATTGAAACAAGAAATTCTTTATAAAAAAAAAAAAAAAAAAAAAAAGGTAACTTTCAAGGGCTTTCTTTCTCTTCCTGCTTAGATTTTGAAACTGCAGCCATTTATTTCATCTCTCTGAATGACGAGTGGAAGCTTTTGTGTGTTGTGTTACTCTCAAACTTTCCGCAGTACAGTAAAACACATCACCAGCTTTTATCATAACAAGCTATAGATCAAAATCCACTAAAAATCTGATCTTTTTAAGTCTGCGTCTCTCTAAGACACCAATAACAAACGAACAAAAAGCTATGGCTGGTGGGAAAATCTGTGGCAGTTCGAACGCAACCACTTTACTTAGAAACGAGAAGCTTCCTTGTTCTTCTCAAGTTCTCGACTCTCTCTGGATGTCCAAACCTTCCTCTTCACTTCAGGGTAATTCCCTGCATTTCTTCTTGCTTTGTTTTTGTGTCCTTTATTTTTTTATGTTCTCGTCTCTGTTTCCTGTTTTTTGTAATTTTTATAAGAGTGCGGACTTATACACTAATTTCGAGAAGGTTTTTTATGTTTCTGGTGGGATTTGTGTTAATGCATGAAATAATTCCCGTCCTTTCGTAAGTGGAAGTGTGTCTTTTATGATCTTTGGTCTTAAGTTTTCTGAACAGAGTGACTCTGTTTTATGTTTTCGGACTGAGAAGAAAAGCTTAAAGCTTATGTAAAAGTTCTCTCTCTAGAGTTCAGTATATAGCGTTTTCTACGCATTTCCTCTTTGCCTGACTGTTGTGCTTTTATTTTGTTTCGGAAAAAAATTCATTTTATGCATATCATCTGATGATTATCTTCCTTGCGTTTAGGTCCAGAGTCTCTGGTTAATTTGGATAACGTTGCTGGAGGAGACACAGCGGTGTCACCATTCTTTCAGTCTCTTGTTAAAGAAGAAAATTGTTATGAGGATTTTGATGGGTGCTTCAATCAACCAGCTGGAAAGAAAAGGCGGTTAACAACCTCTCAAGTTCAGTTTCTTGAGAAGAATTTCGAGGTGGAGAACAAACTTGAACCAGAGAGAAAGGCTCAACTTGCAAAAGAACTTGGCTTGCAGCCTCGTCAAGTTGCAATTTGGTTTCAAAACAGGCGGGCTCGGTTCAAGAACCAACGGCTTGAAAAGGACTATGGTTCTTTAAAAGCTGTCTATGACAAGCTCCAGGTGGACTATGACAATCTCATCAAGGAGAAGCAAGCTTTAGTAAATGAGGTAATTCTCTTAACTGAAGTGTTCAACATTTCTATTCTATTACTAGTGGGCACAATTTTCATCCACTAATGGTTCAATTTTGCTTTTGAACAGGTTCTTTTACTGAAAGAAAATGTTCTTGGCAGAGAGAATGGGAAGGAAAATTTGGAGACACTTGATGCCACCAAATTATCAGAAGCGGGACCTCAAAAGCAAGTTACAACTGAAACAGTGTGTATTGTGCCACTAGTGGCTTGCAAACAGGAAGATGCATGTTCAGCCAAGAGTGATATATTTGACTCTGATAGCCCACATTACACAGATGGGAATCATTCTTCATTGTTAGAGCCTACTGATTCTTCTCAAATTTTTGAACCAGACCAGTCTGATTTCTCACAAGATGAAGAAGATACTAATCTTGGCAAGGACCTTTTGCCCCCACCATGCTTCCTCAAACTTGAAGATTGCTATTATGATGACCCACCAACAAGTTCATGTAATTTTGGATTCTCTGTGGAAGATCAACCCATTTGGTCCTGGTCTTACTAAGAATTATCTGCTCCTTCTGGTCTCCTGGCCTGCCTTTACCTAAGTTATCCTGTGGCACACGTGTTTCTACAACTAAGTAATGCAAAATCTGAGAGTTGTCACTTGTAATTAAGATTATATCTAGCAATATTGCGCCCTTTTTGGTGCCTTCAACTCTTGTGTTTCTCCACTAGACACCTCACAACTGTGCTCAGCAGTTGCATGGCCTTAAGCTAGAATTAGCAATAATGCTTATTTGGTTGGTGGGGTTTCATGTGCTTCATAGTTATTACTACCATTTTCTTGCTCTACAGTATTGATCCCTGTATTAAGTCGACCAACAGAATCGGCAACATGGTTTCACATTTACCAAATCCTTCATGACAGGAGAATTGCAGTAAAGAAACTATAAGGGATCAGCATTTTCTTCTACTATTGTAAAATTATGCACCCTTCAAATGCAATTTCTAAAATAAACTGTAGTTGAAAAAAATCACATACAACATGTGGAAAATAAGAAACAGGCAGTGAGATTTGATAGATTGTCATAATCTGCGCTGAAGAAAACGTTGAAAACCAAATTTAAAAGCAGTTAATTAATATTAGTTAATGAAGTAATCCAAAATTTGCTACTTCTTTTTTATAATAGCGTAACCAATGGGTTTGAATTTAAACAATGAAGTATGCGTTTGGTTTAATATTTTTATCCCTATTCTGGATCCTATTTTTCAAATCGCGTTTGGTACAATATTCTCAAAATATTACCCTATTTTTTTTAATTACATTTTAACCCCATAAGGTTATTAATTTCACTAAATACCCCCTGAAAAAAAAGTTTAAAATTAACAAAAACACCCCCATCAACCCAACTTGTCAGATTCCGGCAACCACCGTCGGTGATAGCCGGAATCTGTACAACGGCCAAACTTCCGACCAGAAATGGCCGGAAGTTCACCGCTGTGGCCTTTTCCGACCAATCCACAACGGATCTGGCCGGAAAAGGCCAGATCTGGCCGTCACACGACGCCAAAGAAATGGCCGTCGTTGACGGTCAACGACGGCCAAATCTTGGCCGTCGTCGATCGAAAACGACGGCCACTCTTTGGCGTCGCTGACGGCCAAGATGGCCGTCGTTTGGCCTTTTCGCCGTCGACGGCCAAAACAAACCATAGATCTGGCCTTTTCCGGCCAGATCTACATGGATCTAGCCGGAAAAGGCCATAACGATGTGTTACGGCACAGATCCGACAAGTCTGTGCCGTAACGAAATTTTCCGGTCAGATTCCGCGGGGGTGGCCGGAATCTGACACTGCATGGTGGGGGTGTTTTTGTCATTTACATGTTAGGGTCTTTAGTTAAATTAGTAAACCTAAGGGCTTTTTTATAAATTTTTAAAATTTACCTCGTAATACTCCATATCCAATAACCCAATACTACCCTTAAAATCCTATCCAAAATACTAAACCAACGCACCCAATGAAAAGTTGGAAAAAGAGGTATGTTGTTGTAAGTCAAGATTCCGGAATGGTTCATCTTCAATTTAATTTTTCAACAGGCACAGACTTTTAGCACCGGATGACCTGTTCAGATGTTGACATTTTATTGTTCTTATGAATGTTAAAAAAAAAAAAAAAAAAAAATCAAAACCTTGTTTGTTTGTTGAAGAAGATCGAGCCTGCAACAGAGTATCTTGCTGATGTAAGTGAATTTGCTCATAGAACAAAACCCTTTTAAAAAAATGTCTTCTTTTAGAGTATTTTATTACTTATTGAATATGCATTGCATCAGGGTATAGACATTAGAAAAAGGGGAATTCCATTGATGGGTTACTGTATCCCACAGGTTTGTGGAAATGGAAATTCACGTGAAGAAATGCGGTCAATTTGATTCTTTTTTATATCACAAAAAGTACTAACTGTGGCCTCCGTATCTCAAAGTCTTGTTTGAGTCTAAGAAGTGAACCTTAACCTAATTTGTTTAGGGATTGATGAAGGACGGCTGTTGGTATTGCAAATATAATATATTAAGAGTGATGAGACAAGAAATATCCATTCCCATTTGAAACTTCTGGTGTCAAAGTCAATAAAATCATGCCACATGTTTTTTTTTTTTTTTAATTCTTTTATTTTTGTATAAAGTTTGTGCTGCAGAAATCTAATGTTCATTTGTAGAAGGGGGGTTAAAGAGCTAGAACAGTTATCAGCATCAATCAAGTCTTCAAGATGCAAAGAAAATGAATAGATAAATATAAAAATAGCCTGACTGACATCACTGAAAGTGAAACTGATAAGCGAAATCTCTCCTTATGGCCATATAAGAAAAGGGTGATCTGAAAATACTTATATATAATAGATATTATTGTTTAAGAAGAAAGCTGATAATAATTTAAAAGTAAACGATAGTCCGACCCAAGGTATAGTGAAATGATTGGTACCTCTTGTTTTATAAATTACGGATTCCTACCCTTAAATGACGCCGTTAGTAACAGATGGGTTCTGACACAAGACAGTGGATTCTTTTACCAAACAGTCCTTAGACCTACTACTTCATCTCCCCTTCCCTTCTTCACTGTTGTCGACCTTTTGACTGCCTCCCAGCCGATTTTCTTAACCAATCACGGTAAGAACTCTTCCCCAAATTACCATCACCTAGTCATTGCCGCTAGACGACAAACCCAAAACTTTGAAAATCAACTAATCAACTTTAAGGGTATGTTTGATTTATTATTTCTATCCATATTCTTAATCTTATTCTCCAAATAATTATTTCAGAAATATTACCTAATTTTTTTAATTATTTTTAGACCCATAAGGTTAATAATTTTATTAAATACCTTTTGAAAAAAAGTTTACAAAATAATAAAAACACTCCCATAACCCATACTTGCCAGATTCCAGCAACCACTTTCGGTAGTAGCCGAAATCTGCCACAACGATGAATTATCGACTAAAATTGGTCAGTAATTCACCGATCTGGTATTTTTCAACTAGATCTAACCTTCAGTGACGGCCAAAGAAATGGTCATCTTTGACCGAAAACGACGGCCATATCTTTGGCCATTGTTTTGGCCTTTTACGATTGTCGACGGCCACAACAAGCCATAGATCTTGCATTTTTCGATCAGATCTATGGTGAATCTATCCAGAAAAGACCATAACGACTCGTTACAACACAGATCTGATCGATCTATGTCGTAACATGATTTTTCAACTAGATTTCAATGGTGGTGGCTGGAATCTGGCATTGCAGATGGTGGAGATATTTTTATTATTTTATATATTAGAATGTTTAATTAAATTAGTAAACATAAATTTTTTTTTATAAATTTTTAAATTTTACCTCGTAACACTCCTCTATTCAATTACCTAATATTATTCTCAAAATCATATCCAAAATAATAAACAAATGGCACCACAAAATTCCCAAACAAACAAATCCACTCCACCAAACCAAACATCAAACGCCATTCAACTGCTCCCCAGTACAACTCCACCAAACCAAACAGCAAACGTTATTCAACTCCTCCCCAGCACAACCCACGCAAACCCAAAATCCTTCAACTCCTCCCCAGTACAACCCACGCAACACCGTCTCTCAATTTCAAAGAGGTAAATTCTTTGAAAACTCAATTAAACAAAACCACAGTTACATAGATTTCACAAAAAAACAACAAAAAAGCCCAATTCAAAGCCGCTTAGTGACGCTCGTTCGAATGACAGTTGTTGAAGGTGTTGGAGGGAAAAAGAAGATGGGAGGAGGAGGCGGAGATGAGGAAGAAATGGGGAGAGGAGAAGAAAGTGTCAATTTTACCCTTTTAACGGTTAAAATAAAGAGAATAAAGTTAATTTAAGGTGAGAATTTGAAATAAATGAAATCAGATGCTAACTTCGGATTTTGCCAAATGTCGGGTGGAAACAGTAGTTTAGTCTAACAATTTATAGTAATTAAAGAGATTGACATATTTCCATGCCGGCGATCAGAACGGAATTGATGAAAGCTACAACAGATGAGAGGCACGTGTAGGGTTGAGATTGGGAAAAGTCCAAATCAAGCATCGAGACGTGGGGGTACATGATGAGTGGAGGTAGGGGGTGCAACGTGGCAGAGAGTGGATGGTTAAGATAAGTGTCAGCATCAGTGATTTGAGTCAGAGTGGAGATAAGAATGGGAGACCGAGGTGGTGATGTCCATTTGTTGAAGGCCCAGGGGGGGCCGGGGTGACAGGTGGGGATGTAAGAGTGACAGCAACATCTGTCTGTCAAATGATATCACACGTGTACGGTTGCTTTCTGTGGTTCCACTGCCCACGTGCACTTCACGTCTGTTTGTTATGTTCATGTATGTAGACGTTGGATTAGTTTTTGTTTTTGTATGAATGGGGATTGGAGCGGGGCCTATGCCTATATTCATGTACCAATAATGGAAGACCAAATCTTAGCCTTCATTCACTTGTGCGTGTGGATTACTATACTCTCAACATGTTCCTTTAGAGATGGCAATGGGCCCAACATTTTCGGGTATCTGGCCCGGTCCGGCCCGAAAGGGACGGGCTTTACCGAGGTTGGCGGGGCTCTGGGCTTGGGCCGGGCATTTTTTAAGGCCCGACTCGGGTACGGGCCGGGCATGGATATATCTTTAGGCTCGGCCCGACCCATCCCATCCAAAATTTAGTATAATTTTACTAATTTACCTTATACTTATATTTAATTACAATAGTACTACACACACACACACATATATATATATATCCTTTTTTCCCAAACCCTAACCTCAATTTTCATCCTATATTGAAGGTTTAACATGTTAAAATTGCCTTTAAATGAGTTAGATGTGTTTGGTTAACTATAAAAATGAATTTTACCGTAACATATATGTACAGTTGAAAAGTTAGTATAATCAAATATTATGGAGTTTTAATTGCTCACTTATTGCTTAAATTATTTGCGGAAATAGCTTCAATTAATATTTAAAAGCTTTTTCTAAAATTAAAAATTAAAAAAAAATGAAATTATTAATATTTTAAAAATAAATATTATTAAAAAAGGCGGGGCTGGGCCGGGCCTACGGTTATAAAAAACCTCGAGACAGGCTTGGGCTTTGCCTATCATACCGTAGCGGGCTCGGGCTAGGCTTGGGCCTGTGTCATGAGGGTCGGCTTGGGCCTGGGCAAGGGGTAACCGATCCGGCCCGGCCCATTGCCATCACTGTTCCTTACTTCAATTGAAGATAGATTATAGTTTTGGTATTATACAAAGATGGTCAAAATTAGACAAAATATGGTTTCAAAGTTTGCTAAAACATTCGCACCTTAGTTAACACCAATGCCCAACACTTTCAACTCACTGGAGTGGGCTTGGGCTTTGCTGGAGGGAACCTTAAACGTACAGAGATTGGGAAGGCTTACAAAATATTAAGCGTCAAGAAAAGGCTACAAAGGTCGTTGTTGACATCTCCTTTAACGGTCAACTAGTCTACAATTTTCTTAATGAGTTGGGTCTTAGTGGATACACAGCCATTACCTTTTTTTTTTTTTTTTGACCCGAGGGTGTCCGAGTCAGTTTACAAATACCTCAACTAATAACTAATCATCTGAGATTCTAAAGTTAACGACATGATAAACCTCTAGTGCCCACCTCTATTAGGGGTTGAAATGAATCGAATTCAAAATTTCCTAAGTAATACGTCTAAAAGAAACCATTAACTTTAGAAAAGGAAAGAGATGGAAAGAATGTTTTCCCTTTTTTTCTTGGCAAATCAGTGTAGGTTTGTAGACACTAAGTTTGTGAATACTTAAAGGTTGTGTTTCTCTTAATTTATACCCATAGGCTTTTTAGATAATGAAACATAAATAATTGAAAATCAAGAGTCATTGTATATGAATTATGAGCTTATCACTCACGTTAGAGAATTGGTATAGGCTATTTAGAGTTCATGCCAAGTTAGCGGCGACATCTTATTCCTTATTGGAATGGTGGTTACGAAGGAAAACATGTTTATCCTAAGAATTTGGTTAATGGAAGAAGACTTTTAGTAGAAGCATTGCATGGTCTTTGTAGGTTTTAATTTATTAGAGGAGTAATACCACATCAACAATCCTCTCACACAATTCTGACGTGGTATCTTGTAATTAGTCAACTCGTAATTAATATATGAGACCTATTGTGAACTGACCAATTGCGAACTGCCACGTCAAAGTTGTGAAAGAAAGTTTGTGAGAGATGGTTATTGATTTAGTATTATTCTTTATTAGAGTGCTTATATTTACGCGTGTCGTGTCACTTGTTCATATCATATAGACTTTGGGCCTTCTACCCTTTTATTGGGCTTCCAGGACATGCACCGTCAATGGCCATGGTCTGGCCCATTCTTTACATTCTGGACCGATTGTTAGCTCCCTTAAGCCTGACTCTTATTTGGGTTTTACTTGATTGTGTTAGGTTGATTTTTATTATACGAAAATATTATTTAATTCCTGTCATTTTTCTCCTATTTTAAGTAAATTATTTTATTCTTAACTTTTTGTTTGCAGTAATCAAATAATCAAATTAAAATTTACAATTTCAAAAATTAAATTAAAACTCATATCTTTCTGGCCCAAACATAAAGTATAAGTGAATAGATGGTAACAGTTTTAATCTTCCACGAGCTCAACACCAAATTTTGTTTAATTTTTATAATTTCTGAATATTCTATTCTAAGTGACAATATACATGGAAATAGAGAACAACAAAAAATTCCAAATCTTGAAAAATGTCTTACATTATTCGAGGAAGTGATACAAAAGGTTGATATTTCCCATTATTATACCAATCTCACTATTACTGTTATAATCTGTGTTTAATTTTAATTTTGATAATAATATGAAAGATGGTAGTACATTCAGCAGTCAGGACTCGACTCAGGAAACCCCTTCACCACAAGCAATGATGTAAATACCATGATTGTTGCTTTATTTAATTCATGATTTCAAACCATTTTTCCATTGAACTAAATACTTTTGCAGAAAATTTCCCCATGAAAAGGAGCCCAGAGACGCTATCAGGTGAAGCTAATTAAATATAGTTAATATCTGACTTTCTTGACTGCTAATTCTGAGCCCGGGAGGTCCCTACACTTTCCCATTCCATGTCAAGTGTCAACAATGTAGTTTCAACCTGTCATGCTGTTTCCAAATAATTTGGTCCCGTCGAGTCCCTCAACCAGTACAAGGAAAACAAGCTTATAAATATGCTTACATAGGCAGTCATTTGACAGAACAAAAACTCCTAATATGTGCCCTGTAATCACTAGAACAAAAACAACAATGCCCGAATTCCAGAACAGAAACCGACTTTTTAATGTCAAAAAATCCAAGAGCACTGAAACTAAGCCATCAAGAGTTATGCTGAGGTATAAAATATCAGGGTTCTGGGGATGGGATTTCTTCTCCAGTTTTGAATAATCTAGATTCTTCAATGAACCAATGGAAGAGGCTGATCGATTATTTGGAAAGCAACAGAGATAATCATTCTTACTCATTTAATACTATCCACATTCCCACCGTTACATGCACTTGGCCCAGGCGCTGTTAATTGCATAGACAACTAAATACAACCTCAGTTAGGGGTGCCACCAAGGCTCTTTGGATAGTTTGCCTTCACATGTATAAAAGCGATAAAAGGAGGGAATGGCAAGCTAGACCTAAAGGAGAGGCACAAGTTATCACAAAGATGCAATAAGATATCAGTTGGTTCTTTGCAGGAAGCATAATTGTGTCTGCGCAAAACTACATGATGTCTACTTCGATCTTCATCTTCTAAATAAAAACTTCAAATTTCTAGGAAACAAAACTCAGCTAATTGTATTATATAAATATCATCTTCATGATATTTCTCCCCATTTTTTAAGGAATTATTACAAGCTATCCTCTTTCATAACCCTGACACACCACGGTGCCTTATCCAAAAGAAATTTTTCATTTTGTACATCTCTGTCTCTTTTTCTTGCAGCAAAAAATCATCCAGATGGATGCATAGACCATGTATATAGTTATGAAGAGCAGTGTAGACAGAATCAAATAGCAGATAATGGAGATAAATTCCTACCAACTACAGCTAAGTAGCCATTAAAAAATTTAAAAAAGAGATTGTCATTTCAATCATGGTTGAAAAAAAATATATTCTATAGCGAATTTAACATCAATCTGATGAGCTCAAAGACTTCTTAATTTTTCGAAGGATAGTCCACATGAAAGTGGATATAATGAAGAGAATGATACCTGTAACAATGGCATACTTGAGACCAAGGTTCACCAACAAGTTCACCAGAAGCCCGGCCAGCACAACACCAACAAAATTTGCTGACAGGCCCGACCAGAATGGCATGTCAAGAATGGAAGCGATGAAGGCTCCTGTCCATGCTCCTGTTCCAGGGAATGGCACAGCCACAAAAAGCATAAGCCCAAGCCACTGAAACTCTTCCACTGGACCAGCCTTCTCCTTGGCCCTCTTAAATAGCAAATCAAGGAACCGAGATGCAGACCCGTTGTTCCCAGCTAGGAATGACGCAAACCTCTTCAGGTAAAGTATAATAAATGGCACAGGGACCATGTTCCTACAGTTAAAGCACCAAAATTTATCAGGTTCAAGTTGATGCTAGTTTCAACTATTATTTACTTCTACGCCAATAATCATACAAAAAACTCGAAATATGACAAAACAATCAACACACTGTTAAACTAGGATTAAAAAGAAAAAAAAATGAAATGTTGCTTTCTGTAGTGTCAATCAAAGGAATTTAAGACAAACGGGACTATATAAATTTATCATAATTTGTTACAACAATGACATGCTCATATCATCAAATTCATCAATCTACTTAGCACAATGATTAAATCCTAAAATTCTACGGTTCTTTGATAAATTGAAGGAAAATAGCTAAAAAATGGGAATTAATCAATTAAAGAGAAAAAAAATAAAACTAACCCAAGAACAGATAACAAAGTTAGCAACAGAGGGTGGAGTTGCATCCAGTAACCAACAGGAATAGCGCCACGAAGCTCAATTACAGGAAGCGTAGCGAGAGCAAACACCACAGCCTCATCGGGCCAGCCAGAGCTCCTTAAAGCAGTAGCGATCTTGAGGCCAAAACCAGAAGCTCTAATGGAGTCAGCAGCAGCACTACTTGCATTAGCATCACCAGATGTAGCGAACCAAACAAGAGATAAAGAAGCCCAGAAGAGTACCCATAAGAGATGTTTCCCGGGCTTTTCCTCAGAGAAAGGCAAAATCTTTTTGTCTTGAGTTGTAATATCAAGAAACCCATCTGACGAAGAGGCTCTCGTGCGAACAAATGATGAAACAAAATGACCCAAGTGGCGAGAGCGAGAGTTTTGAAATGTGAATGAAGGCTTCGACTTGAGGAATCCTTGAGTGTTGTTACCAGTGATGAGGGGATAAAAAAGAAGATTTTTTGATGAGGTTTTGACATGGGGTTTTTTGATAGACAACGCTAAGGTTATTGGTGACACAGAGGCCGCCATTGAATCTACAATGAAGCTGCAATGCTGATTTGGGGATTTCGTTTTCAGCGCCTACTTAGACATTTATGAGTAGGAAGAAGTAAGAAATATGGTTGGAGCACATGAACATCAGTGGAAATGATATACTGTAGTCTTATAAGAATAATACAAATAATTAATAATTAATAAGTAAAGATGAGACTGTTCAGACGAAGTCGAGGCAGAAGAAAACAAAAGAAGGGAGGAATTACCGAAGTTTTGTTTGAGATTTGGGATAAGAGAAGAAGTTTGAAGGAAGTTTGGGAAGCGGCACTGCCACTGCGCCAGCAAGCCAAGGGTTTTATGCAGTCGTTTACTGGTTCTTCGAAATCACAGTTCAAATAGACATCAATTCACACTAATAAATCATTCTGCACATTTAAAGTTTGTATATATACATTTAAAAGTAAGGTAACTTTAATTATAATATCAAGTAAAAGATTAATAATATTATACACAGTTTTTATGTTTTCATACACATATAATAAACATGTAATTTTAAATTGCGATCATGTTAAAATTTTCAAAGGTTGGTTAGAAGTTTGCAATAATAGGAGTTAATTAAATTTAAATAGACCTCTCATGAAGTTTCAACATTTTAGTGGCGCTCAGAAAAATCATTAGGTTAACACAAATATCATACTTTTTTATTTTTATCGTTAGTGTGTTCAGACTAGTTTGTGCATGCCTCAACTAATCTTCCGAGGTTTAGAATTATCGAACGGTTAAGAGCCCTAGTGACTACCCCTATTAGGGCTTGAGGAAACTTAAACTCAAAAGCTTATAAAACATTTTTTGCTCTTTTACCATCATGTCATTTAATGATGGTTCGTCCGCTATCCTAACTTCTACTGAGGTTTTGTTAGGGTTATGTATCACACACCTTTTAACATTAAAAATTGACAACTTACCCCCTATAATTGTCCCTTATACCTCCTACAGCCTACCATCAAGTTTTGGTGTCAAATTAATTGAGAGAAGGGCAAAGTTGAAAATAAAAATATTTTGCAAAGAAAAAATATGACAACTGGAATTTTTTTTTTTTTTAAGTATACATCTAAAAATATATATTTTTTATATTGAAAATTCAATAATAATTCTTTTAAAGAAAAAAGATCTTCGATTTCGACAATCTAAAAATGATGGTCCCGAAAATCTCTGATCGTCCTAACCTCAATTTTTTTTTTTTTAAAAAAATATTAAATCTTCAATATATATTTAAAAAAAAAAATTCTAAACATTTTTCATTATTGTGAAATATTCAATATATTAACATAAAAGGTCTATTATATCCTTCCCTCAATTAACTTTAACACAAATGATATAAGTGAATAATTATGGGGGATAACTTGTCAGTTTTTTATGTTAGTGGGAGTGTCATGAAAATAATTAATCCTAACGGAAGTTAAAGGAGTGGGGTATTTTAACTTTTGTGTTAACCTGATGTTATTTTTTATGCCTTCGGAGAAGACTGAAACCTCGAGGAGATCTGTGTAATTAACTCTAACTAGTAACCTGAATTGTATAATTGTTAGTAAATACATATATTTTTCCACAAAAATATCTTTAACATATGTCTAATATATAGCACCCATAAGATAATTGTGTGTCAGATAATTACAATATAAAATGATGATGAGAATTAGAAAATCATAAAAATTTTAATAACAAGATGACATCAAAGAGTAATACTTAAAATTAAAAACGATAATATAAAAAATACTGAATTTAAATATGTTAAATTTTAATTCATAAATAGTGGATAATTCCTTAAATATTTTAATTGATTAAAGAGATTTTAACTTTTTAAAACTCTATTCCATTATCCTATTTAAAATATATTGTAAAAACATGTTTGTTTTAACTTTTAAGGCTCCGTTTGGTTCAAAATTTGGGGGTTTTGGGAAAAGTTTTTTGAAAAAAGTTAAAAAAAAATTGAATTGGGCGGGTATTACGATGTAGAATTTATAAATTAATAAAATTCCCTTTATATTTATTTTTTTACAAAATACCCCCTATAATAAAACATTAAAAGTTAACAAAAATACCCCTAACCCACCCTCAAACACCCCCAGCCGGCGACCACCACCGGAGGTGGCCGGAGTCGCCTTATGGGCGCATGACCGGTTGGATCTTGTCGGTCATGCGTCGCTATGGCCTTTTCCGGCCAGATCCACTGTGGATCTGGCTGAAAAAGGCCATATCTACGGTCAAATTTGGCCGTATTTGCTCTCAACGACGGCCAACAAATGGTCGTCGTTGATGGTCAACGACGACCGTTTGTTGGCCGTCATGACCGACTGTTACGGCCAAAGATCTGGCCGTCAACGGCTAGATCTTTGGCCTTAGATCTGGCCTTTTTCGGCCAGATCCACCGTGGATCTGGCCGGAAAAGGCTAGATCGGCGCACTACCGGCCAGATTCAGCCGGTAGTGCACCATCCTACCAGATTCCGGCCATTTTCCGGTGGTGGTGGCCGGAATCTGGTAAATGTGGATTATTGGGATGTTTTTGTAATTTTAAAAAAAATATTTAGGGGTATTTAATTAAATTATCAAATTTAAGGGGTTTAAAAAAAGTTGAATAATATTGGGAGTAGTATTCCCAAAAATCTGAGTTTTTGGGTATTTTACTGTTTAACTTTTTTGGGAATACTAAAAGTAGTATTCCCAAAACTGAAACAAACGCAGCCTAATATTGTTGGAATCCAATTCAAAATCCAATCCTATTCGTTTTCTATTATCTTATTATATTCAACTCAAAACATTTAACAATTATATTTCACAATAAACATTTATAAAATAATAAAAACACCTCCACCTACCCAAGCCACTGTCGGCCACCAATAATCACCGCTTGTCGTCGGACGCACGATCGGTCGAATTTGATCAATTGTGCGTCGATCTGACATTTTCCAATCAGATCCACCATGGATCTGGCCAGAAACAGTTAGATCTACGGCCAGAGATCTGGCCATAAATCTAGTTATTGATGGCCAGATTGGCACACGACCAGCCAGATCTAATTGGCCGTGCACCATTCTGACGACTTCCGGCCATCGTCTAACGATGGTTGCTGGCTACTGGCAGTCGGTTAGGTGGGTGCCGGATGAGGGTGTTTTTGTTAATTTATAAACTTTTGTTGTGGGGGGATGTTTAGCTAAATTAACAAATGTTGGGGGTTAAAATTAGTTTAAATATTTTCAAAAAATTTACAAAACAACTATTCACATTTTTATCCAATTCTATATAATTTTTATATATTATATCAAACATATTCTCAAAATCCTACTTTATTTGTTTTAATCATATCCTATCATATCATATTCAAAATTTCATATTTGAAATAATGTACCAAAAAGACTTACTTAATACAAACAGCGGCATTGATTCCGTGTAACAAACTTACAACTGTACTTAAGGGGGCGTTTGGTTGGGGGGTATATCAGATTATTGAGGTTATGTCATCTTATATTACTTTGATTATCACGTTTGGTTATCAAGTAATATAAGATTTTAGTAATCTTCCAAAACCAATAATAGTTACTATTGGTAATATTAGACGTAATCTGATTATCTCAATTTTTTTAGGTATTGTAAGATTACCAATGTAATCTTATTTTTGTTATAATTCTATCCCTTATTAATAAAAAATTTGGGTAATAATGCCCTTGTTTTAAAATCAATTTACATTAATCTACAATTACAATTTTACCCTTGTTTAATTAAGTTTTTGGACAATATTGCCCTTATATTTAAAATAAATTATAAACCGCCATCGCCACTCAGCCACCATCATCGATAGCGGGCCAACCACCGTCGACCGCCATCGGAAAGTCGTCGGAGTCTCTAAAAATAACTGAGAGTCGCTGGGAGGCTCCGATATGGCCGTTTCTGGCCATATTTATGGCCGAAAACGACCATATCAGACTAGATCTAGCTGTTAACGGCCCGATTCATAGCCATTATTGGCCAGATCTGGGTGAGTTCTGGCCGTTAACGGCCATATCTCACCTAGATATTGTCAATAAGGCCATGGATCTGGCCGAAAATGGCCTGAATAGATCTGACAATTCTTGGCTAGATTTAGTTTGATATGGCTATTTTCGGCCATCAATATGGCCAAAAACAGCCATATCGGAGCCTCCCGATTACGGTGGACTACTCACAACGACTCCATGTAACTTCTGGTGGTGGCAAGGTAGTGGGGGTGATTTTGTTATAAATTAAAGTTTTATATAAGCGGGATTGTTTTAGCTAAATTTGACATATTGGAGGTTAAAAAAATTATTCAAAAATTAATATTTAAAAAAGGATAATTTAGTAATTTAAATAATATACTCAACAATTTATTCTTCGTAATCAAATATATTAATATAATATACCCATCCGTTTATTCCAACTAACTAAACATATTTTCCTGATTCTTAATAATTATATAGAATTTCAATAATCCAATATATATTTTTTTTTGAAGCAAACGCACCCTAAAAAAGATAAGCCGTTTGGCCCGTTTCCGAATTCCAAACGAAGAAATCTAAGAAACAGGCCTGCTGAACGCAGCACCTGCGGTCAAAAACTTTTTCAAAATCAAATGTTCAACTCAACTCGCACAAACTCAACTCACTCTATCCACTCCCTCGCCCTCGAAACGCGCCGACTTGTCAAGAAATACGCAAATACATCCTAACATGAGTCGCAAGAGAGACAAGTCCTACTTCTCCCGCCACGAACCCACTTCAGCCCCTAAACGCCGCCGTCCTCTCCCCCCTCCGCGGCTGCCAACCGCTGATGATGACAAGCCGACCGCCAAGCCCAATCCTCCGCCAGCCGTGGTGGTGCTGGGTCTGTCCCCGAATTGCTCCGTTCTTGATTTGAAGTCGAGGTTCGAGATCTACGGCTCAATCTCCCGCATTCGCATCGATCGCAACGGCGTCGGAAACATCGCCTTCCGTACAAAAGAATCTGCCGAAGCTGCTATTGCTGCTGCTCTAGATGCGTCCTTTGGCATCACCGTCGATTCCCAAAAGGTTAACGCTCTTAATCCTTCCGTTGAATAAAGTCTAATTTGATTTCTTTTTTCATTGCTAGTTGGACGGAGAAAAAAGTTATGTTCGGTTTGGTTACTGGAAAACATCTGGAGAAGTTAATTTGAACTGTATTATTGGTTGGTTTTGGTTTCTAAGAGCTGAAAGAGACTCAATCAAGTTTTTTATAAGTTAAACTGAATGCAAGAACGAGATATTGTTTTATCTTCCTCAGTTTTATTAGTAATTAAACATCACTTTAAATTGAACTGAGATGAAAGTGAAAACTCAGGCATCTTTAACACAGCAGTTTAATTAATTGGAATGAAGATTGTATGCTGCAAAACTAGGTCAGTTAAAAATACGGGGGCTTTATTCCATTTGAAGATGTTGTTAGTCATAAGGTATTATCATTTGAAGGTCCCTCTAGTAGTTTTGATAGGATAGGTGGAGAGTTGAAAATTAAATAAGTTCTCCAGCTATCTCAACTGCATCTTGTCCCATGTGTTTCCCCTTTTCCTTTTAGCTGACGCCTTGCTTGGACTTGATACCACCAATTTGAGGCTTGACTCAGGCTTAAAGGTTTTGCCTTTGCACTCCTTGGAGTTGTTTCTAATCTTAAATGTGGTTGAAGGCCTAAAGCCTACATAGTTCAATATTTAAAATCTCTCTTGTGAGCGCATAGGACAGCAGGTCTTCTGGTTAAGGTTTCTCTTTTTAAAACTGTTCAATCCATTACTGAGACTGGGGTTTTTCTTTTGCAGGTACAAGTTTTATGGGCAACAGATCCTCTGGCCCAATGGAAGGAAGCAGTTGGAGTTGGTGCCGATAAGGACAATGGTTCATCTTCCAAACTTTTGCGTGCCAAGGTACCTCTCAGCAGACATGGAAGAGGTAATAAGCTTGCTTCAGCGATAGTCAACCCCAAAAGTAGTAATGATGGTTCTTCAGCCTTAGAGGTCCCTTTTAAAGGCAGAGAAATCGTTGCTTATGATGATATCCTGTAACTGTAGAATTGGTATTTGTCGGGTGCTCATCCTCCTTTGTAATACGAGAGTTGATATAGTTTCAGTAAAAATAGGTTGAATTTGAAGTGCGTAGCCAAAAGTTAGCTGCTCTAAATTATTAGTGGAAGTTGTCTGATATGGCGGTGGTTTTAATAGTGTTTCGGTTGGTAGTGAATGTCGTGTTGAGTTATGTTTCACTTGTATTTCTTGGTTGTTAAATTGTTCTCTTTGATGAGGATTTAGGTGTTTGCTTAATATGAATGTACTCCTGTGTATCTTAATTCAAGAGTTGTAAATCTGTGAATGGGAATAGATTTCTATTTCCCAATACTTATTAATAGCTTGAATTGGGTGGTTTGTAGTTCGTAGGATCCAAAAGGCTTGATTTGAGTGAGTGCAAAGTTTAATGTTCAGTCTACTATGTATGGATTTTTCAGACTACACAAATTTTATTTTGCTCTATCAAGATTTCCTTCAATGATATAGTTAGAAGTGAACGGGACTGGATTTTGATGAGTTCAATTGCAGTGCTATATAAGTGATATATATCTAACCTGTTATTATTTACTTAAATTTTGAGGGTGTTGGCGTTAATGTTTTTCCCCACTAATGGACTGATGTTTATATGTTTCAAGCTTCACAATAGCATTTTGGAGCTTGCAGTTGCCAACTGATTCTTGATGATTTTATAAAATTTGCTTGATAATCACGGGTACGAACCCAGAATGTTGTCAAATTTGCTGTCAGGTCAGGTGAGTAAGTGTTTATAGATATCCCATAATCATATGTGTTTTCTAGCTCATAAACAATTTCAGGAAAGAAAAAATCCCAAGCTCAAACGTAAGAGTCAAATTATATTGCCTAATTAAAAAGTAATTGATTTTGAACTTGTAGTCATGCTCATATGACATAATAAAATATGTAAGGGTCCAACCCTTTTAATTACAGTACTACTAAAAAAGAATTCCCTTTTCATAAATAATTAAAGCGATTTCCTTGGCAGGCCAATCATTGGTTTTTCGATTTGTTAAAGTGTTGCCGAACCATTTCAATTATGAAGTTTAATGAAGTACCAAAAAAGCTAGGGGATTTTTATTAACTCTTTAATTTTCAATACAACTACACATAAAATTACCCTCTATTTTTCCGCGACAGAAGCTCGATGAAAAGCTAGTTGTTGGTTGTGTTGTTTAAAGTGGGAGAACGCGCAGTCATGGAAGAAATAGACGTAATCCAATCATCTGAAAGTAAAGAAGAAGAGCAACGAGTGTGGAGTTGGGGAGCCGGTACAGATGGGCAGCTGGGTACGGGCTGTTTACAGGATGAACTCTCACCTCAACTCCTTCACCTTCCTTTCTCCATCTCCACGCTTGCCTGCGGTGGCGCTCACGTTTTGGCCTTGACCTCATGTACCCTCTTCACTTCTCTCTCTCTCTCTCTCTCTCTCTCTCTCTAATTCTATTGCTTTCAACATTTAATTATTAATTAATGTGCGTGTGTTCCGCAGGTGGTCGAGTGTTTTCGTGGGGAAGAGGCACTTCTGGTCAATTAGGCCGTGGAGACATGGTTAACAGCTCCTATCCAAAGCCTATTTCTTTCTTTGACGGCTATTCAGTTACTCAGCTTTCAGCCGGATGGAGTCACTCGGGTTTTGTTTCAGGTCTTCGTTGTATTCATCAGTGATTAAACTTGTATTTTTATTTTGTATATTAAAATATTGGGGTTTCTTTTTCCAGATTCAGGGTGTCTTTTTACTTGTGGGGATGGCTCGTTTGGTCAGCTTGGGCATGGCGATTACAGCTCACATTGCTCTCCTGTTAAAGTCTCATACTTTACTAATAACAATGTTCAACAGATAGCATGTGGCATGCGCCATTCACTTGTTTTGTTGAAAGGTAAATGCATCATGTCTATTGCATTTCTTGTATTCACTCTTTTCCATGATCACAGATGTTTGAATGAAATGCTTGTGCTCTTTTTATATGCTTAAACCTTATGTTTTCTGATTTTAGGATTTATCCATTCTCTGCGAAGGAAATTAACTTTTCTCAAAAATCTCTGCATTCTCTGATGTATCCCTCAGATTAGAGAAACTTATTAAATATGTAAGAGAAAAGAACTTATTTGTTGCTCATCAGTGAAAAAAAAAATGATGGTTTTGGAGGCTAAACTTTATAAGAGAACTTCTACCTAAAGTAGTAGGTTGAAGTAAACTTGCTTAAAGATTTCAGTGATGAGTTCCAACTGATTAATTATCTTGGGATTACTTTTCTTTGATGCTTGCTGAATGTATGAAAGAGCAGAAGGTGATAGTTGGAAACTTGCGCCTGATAATTTCCTTTCTCTCAAGTTCTGATTAGACCATTCTGATGCCAGATTGTTTGGGAAATCAAGTTTATGGATTTGGATCTGGAAAGCGTGGTCAATTGGGTATCTCAAAGGATAAGATCAGATCGGTTAGTCTTCCTCAAGTTACAAATGGATTTGAAGATGTTGAAATTGTTGGCATTTCTGCAAATGGAGATCATAGTGCTTCATTATCTGGTGAGTTCCCTCAGATTCTCTCTTTCTTAATATGTTATCAAGGCAGAAATAATGACAAAACATTGTAGCTTAAAGGTCAGATAGAATATCTACATGGCTAAGGACTTTTAGATGAAGCATGTTTTGAAATCTATACCCAACCAAGTATCTGGTGAAGCTCATAAAATGGATTATTCCAACACAATTTGGTATTTGTAAGAAACACACTGTAAGGTACAATATCTTTTTTAATATCAACAGAATAACAGGTGAAGTTAATAAAATGGATGATTCTAACACAGTTTAGTATCTATGAAGGGTTTCATGTTACCTACAATAATTTTATTTTATTTTGTTGTATTATTTCTCTTGCAACAGCTAATGGGCATCTCTACACTTGGGGAAAAGGGTTCAATAAAACTTCCAATTCTTACATTCCTCAGTGTTTATCTTCTTCTTTGTGTTTCTCTAAAACTGCTCTTGGATGGAATCACACTTTACTGTTAACTGGTTTGTGTATTTCCTTCTTTCATCCCATTCTTCTATTTCTCTCCACACCCCTCTTTACCCTCTTCTTTCTAGTTACAAGATCGTACATGACTTGTTCATGGCAGTCTTCAATTTCTGTAGCAGGTGATGGAGAAGTTTTTATGCTTGGTGGATCCAACCATGGCGTGTTAAGTGATCCTGAGAAGATGAGCCCTGCAAAGCCTTTATCTGGTAATACATTTTGATATCAAAAACTGTCATGAACCTGCTTGATAATTTGGATAATAAAAAGTGATTATTCATCTACATTTCTAATTTATGTATTCAGTAAACTACTTCAGTTTGATGATGGAAATCTTTATGGTCAAATGGCCAATATTATTTTTACATTTACATTTGGTTATGATTGTAGTACACATAGTGATATATCTGTTGTTTTGTGCTCCAGAAAATTCAAACGAAGCTGCTCTTGAGAAAGTGTCTGGTCTTGACGACACGAAAGTTGTTCAAATTGCTGCTGGAGCTGAGCACTCTGCATTAGTAACAGGCAATTTTCAGCCATCCTTTTTTTATCTACTTATCTACTTACTTTTCTCTTGCTCATCTGTTTTCATTTCTCAATGCCATTGCAGATAATGGAATAATTATGACATGGGGTTGGGGTGAACACGGTCAACTTGGCTTAGGAAACACTAGTGATCAAACTAAACCCAAAGCAGTAAGTCTGGATGATGAAGTTCAAAGCAATGATGCTTCGTTCCAAGTCTACTGTGGGAGTGGGTTCACATACGCCATAAGAACACTATCTCTCCCTTCTCAAACTTGATAAATGCATACTGATACCAGAATATTGGTCCTTCGCGCTTCTGTCCACTGTCACTCAAAAACAGTTAACCTGGCTCTTAAACGAAGCAGATTGTCCAACATATTGTTGCATAACAGAAATGATAAACAAGGAACAAATAGCGGAAGATGGCAGCACAAAGATCATCCTTACAGAGTCTTGGGCAAGTTTGAGTGCCAAGCTTTGTTTTTTTAGTGCGATGAAAACATTCATTTGTTCTTCAATTGAACATACTGTATTTTGTAAGCTATATTATCTGGTTACATTTATACAATAAAGAGAAAAACTTAAGGAAGAAGGCCACACCTCCCCCCAGTCTACGGACCGGAAATTCAAAGTTCAGGTCCAAATTGTAGAAGTTGGATTAGCATTCTCTGGGCACATAGGATCAAACGTAAAGCAGAGCTTTCTTGGCAGAAAGAAGAAATAAATCTATTCTACCATTTCATTGTAACTTTGTAAATTGTTCTTATGTGGTCGTGTACAGAGAAAAAAGGCGCCAAAACCATAGACGAAGAGATTTTCACTGTGGGTCATGTGTTCGTGGACCCGGTTCCCTTCCTGTCTATTATGTTATAATCGACAACAAAAGCTTACATTGCTATGACGTGGCACTCTCTGATCGAATCACAGCAGAAAATTGAAAGTTGTAAACTTACATCAAGAACCACCATATCAGAGCCAACCTTATTGGCTCCTTTCTAAAACACCGTCTCTCACGCACTCCTCAAACAGAAAAGATAGAAGATGAATGCAGCAATTTCAATGAGAAGTAAAAGAGGTTTGACCGGGACGGTCGCCGCGGATGCCGGGGATCTAAAGCTCCGAGCTTACGTCAGCTTCGTGCCCGCTATAAGCGCTAGTGACCTTTCTCTCTCTGTTGAGAAGCCTGGCTCGTTTTTAATCGACTTTGACGTTCCTCAGAAGGTACTCTACTTGTTCCTACCAATAATCCTCCACAATAAAAGTTGTAAATGCTTTAAAATACACCTATTACATATAATTGCAATATAAAAGAAAGTGAAAACAGTCTGAAAAGTATAAGTTCAGTTGCTTAGAAAGTGTAGGAACTATAGGAACTTGAAGCTTGTATCTCCGTTGAAGCATGTGTTATAGATTATTGAAGTTATCGAAGAATAATTGTGCAGGATATTAAATTCCAGTTCATGAACACTGCTAGGGTACTAGAGAAGCAGCTCAACATGACTTACACTCACTGGAGGGGTGAAAACCGGACTATCTTGGATGGGACACTTGTGCTTGATCACAATAACAAGATATCTGCCAGTTATGCGATTGATTCAAGTAATTGTAAATTAAAGTATAGCCATGTGCATAGGGGGGTATTTACATTTGAGCCTTGCTATGATTTTGGGAAGAACTCATGGGAGTTGGCTTTGTCAAAGACTGTTCTTGATGGTGATGTTATAAAAGCTTCTTATGTGACATCAAGCAAAGCTCTGGAGCTCCAGTGGATTTGGAAATCCTCTTTTAATAAAGATGGAAGATGCAAGGTACTTAACCACCATATATGTTTTGCTTTTTATGGGAATCCTGTGATTCTGACTGTTTGAGTGATCAAGAGTTTTGGAACTTTTGTGATTATTGGGCTAAAAGTTGATAGTTCAGAGATTATCAAATCTCTTCCTCAAGGTAGCTGAAACAATCTTTAATTTTCTAGGCACTTCTGATTGTGAAGATAAATTTTGGTTCCCCTGCATCAATTATTTTGGGTCAGTTGAAGCATACTATCACACCAAAAGAAGTCAGAAATTACTAAAATTAGATGTGCAAGTCCCTCACACTGTAATTGGGATAGTAAGGCTAAGGTACCAAATTAAAGTAGAATTTTCTTATTATGCAATTACCTGTTCAGGTTTTTAGTTATAGCATTAGAGATCCTATAAGAATCTGCCTTGAGCATGTGGAACGCATATCTCAATCATGAAAATGCCTGTATATATGTTTTATAAAATATGTGTTTATTTTTCTGTTGCATGAACAGAGAATTCTTTGTAAAAACTTAGTCAATCAATCGAGCATGTCTATATTTCCATAGTACTTGTGGGTAATCTGATATGAATGGCTGATAAAATACGGTTTTCTTTTCCATTTCCTTGACTCACTTGATTCATAGAAAATTTGTTGTCAAGAATCCATAGTACTTGTGGGTAATCTGATATGAATGGCTGATAAAATACGGTTTTCTTTTCCATTTCCTTGACTCACTTGATTCATAGAAAATTTGTTGTCAAGAATATAGAAGGTCATTATTTTTATGTGATAACAGGAAAGATATTTAGAAGATCCTTAACTAGGCCAAGATTTTTTTTTTTTTTCAAAAGAACCTCTCTCCTTTGGTTTTACTAGAAAGATTCTTTATGGTTTTCTTGAATTTTTCTTTTAAAGTTCTGAATGGTTGTTTTTTTTGTGATTCATGTTTCAAATTTTTGTCTTTAATGTCTGCCAGGTTTCAGCTTCTTTTAATTTGGCAGAGGGGTTACACACACCAACACTAACTGCTGAGAGTTTTTGGAACTTCGAAATGTAGTCTTCCTTACTTTAATGATTAGAGGTTTTGAACATGGAAAACTAACTATTCCCTTACAATAATTGACAGATATGTGGTTCTATCTTGCTATTGCATGCTGTCGTAAATATAAAAGAGCCTAGCAAATCAGAGAGCACTGCAAGTTTCACTGTTAATAGTGTAGTTTGTTATTGCAATGATGAACTTACAGTCACCTCATGTGTCTATGGATTGCAGTGTATAGCTATGGGGTTCTCTGGTGCTATTGCATGCTGTCATAAATATATATGAGCCCTTTCTAATGAGGGAGCACTGCAAGTGTTTCTGTTGATGCTTTAGTTCCTTATTCCAATAGTGAAATAGTGTTACTTAAAATCACCTCATGTTTCTTCAGGGTTGCAATATCTTTGTTAACCTTCATGTTTTATTTTCCATTCGGAAAAGATAGGTAGAATTTCATTGCATTTAGCTGACCATTTTCTGGGGAAAAAATGAAAATGGATTAGTAAACTAGTATGGAATTCGCCGAAGAGGATAAGTTCACAACGGTCCTCTATTGTAAAATTGTGGCTATTTGCAAAACGGATACTGTTTCTGAAGAAGTGCCTAATGTTGTGAGTAAAGAATTGCAGAAATAGAACACTAGTTTATTATCTTTTTTTAAGTATTAAAGATTTTGATACTTCTGGTAAAATTCATCATTGTCATCTCAAATTGGTCTGCTTCTGCACTCCGTATCTGCCCCGCCATAATCTTCATGAGAGTTGTAGAAGACTAGAAGTACATTCTCTTCTCCTGATTCGAAAGGCTGTAAGGATCCTGAAGTTCAGTGCAATGATCCAAATACTGAGAATCCGCCATAATAAGTCTATATGTTAAAAAGCTGGAAACTTCAATTTTATTTGCTTGACAAAAAAGGTTATATCTTGTATTCTAGGAGAATTAGGCACGCGTTCATGTCTATTTCTTCTCCTCCTCCCTTTTGTTGTCATTTTTACATATCAGGAATTCAGGTTAAGTTTTCATTTCTTATTCTCTCTCTGCTAATCAACCAAATCCATTGGTGTTAAAAATAAATAAATTAATTGAATCAAGCAACAATTTTCCCTAATTTAATTACGTTGACAATGAGATTGATCAATAATTTAAATAAGGTTAGAATTAGGCACGCGTTCATGTATTACAGACCTTTTTGTTATAACTTTATATGAACAAACAATAAACCACCAAAAAAGAAGAGATTAAAAAAAAAAAAAAATAAATAAAGGTATCAAAAGGATACAATGAACATGTTTCCTATGCAAATCCTTCAATGTAAGAGAATCGTGAGAAAATTAGCATCAGCTACCCAGTGAATATGCTCACAAGAATATTGGGCAAGAAAGAAAGAAGTGGCTGCACTCTTCTTTGTCTTCACAGAATAAACTGTTTCTCCTGCTCACTACGACGTTGCATGCTTGATGAGTTTTTACATGATCATTAGTAGATTATTCTCATATCCACCATTGTAAACAATAGGGCGTAAGGGATCAACCTTCCACTCACCATCAACAATGAACTTGATCTATAGCGCACAGGGAAAATGTTCAGACACTCATCAGTCAAGAGGCACCATACCCATAAACTCATAACCAAGTAGAGAAAAGTGACCTACCTCGTATTTGCCCGGATACAACTTTAGACTCAGAGTAAAAATCCCTGTCCTAGACTTCTCCATCTTTCTCTGCAAAATTGAAAAATAGAAAGATAAGCATCTCAAAGGAACAGATGAAGACCAGCAGTTAACCCAGTACAGAAAATGGTTAAAACGACTCAAGTGATAAAATTCTGTAAGTGCCAACTGTAATAGCATGTCATTGCTGTATCTATCAACAACGCAGAAAAGAGTACCATCAGAAATTTGTAACGGATCTTCTAAACCCTGATGGCACACCTTTCTGAAAATTATGGCATGATGAATAGTTATTTTGTTTATGGTCTAGGGGGACTGGCTATGACACCTTTCCACTACGTATGCTTTTGACTCTTTTCTAATAAATAAATAGAATTACATAAAACAAGATATGTAATCAAATAAGTTGCCATGATAAATTCCGTATGCAAATATGTTTCAAAAAGGCCTGTAATCATGTTGATATGTTGAAGAAATTCCATTTTTTTTCTAGTGATACTAGCAATCATTTCATATAAACAAGAATCCATCTATTTAACCTGCATTCAAAAACAAAAAATATCATTCATCACCAACTTAATCAATACCTGGAAGAATACATCTAACTCATAACTCAATTCTAAAACTAAGAGGTTGAAGTAGAAATATATAAAATTTCTTACCCCCCAAAAAAAAGTTGTCCTAGAAACAATGTTAATTAGAGGCTAAACCCACCATACAAGATGTTAATCCCAAGCTTTAACGTTGCATGCACAATTTTATGTCAGTACTGTAAACAAATCATTTTTCCAGGGAAACTTACATATTTGACCCAATATATCCCAAGGAGATAAAATGAGATTGCTCATTACTAAAAAAAACTCAGATTCTTATAGTCCCAATTAGACAAAATTATCATACCAACTTTAATAGTCCATTTATAAACTCATTTTATACTTCACTTCTGCTCCATCTACTGTTAATCTTCTTGTAATTTATTTTTCCTGAGCCACCATGCCTCTTCTTAGGATGTTCTATGGTCTGCTTCCTCTCACAGTGCCATGAACTTTGATCAAATCTCTTCTCTATCTGCGTTCAGTACTCTCCATTCAAGAAAATTAAACCATCTTAACCTACTCTCTCAAAACAGATTATAAAGTACATTTTCTTAACAACTAGACAAGTGACTGACTAGGTAATAAGGATATGAGACTTCCACAAATCTACATAGAACAAATATGATATGTCAAACTTCATCCATTTCCAACAGCCAAACAAATTTCTACACACGATATCTACTTGAATTCAAAATAGTATGAACCAGAAGGCTTGAACTTCAACATTTAAAAATCTAAGAAGTAGGGAGAAAATACAACAAAAATAGCATTGGTGAATGGATTCCAACCTTTGAGGACCAACCATCAAATGATCCAACTAAGAGCACCTCTGAGGCTGAATTAGGCCAGACTATGCAAGCAGTACGAATAAGCCGTAAATCTCTACGAGCATCATCAATCCTTTTCTGTTTCTCTTCAATCATCTTCTGGGCACCACTGTAGCACATAAGAACATGACATCATCAATAATAAAGTATGAGAAAAGTGATGCTGAATGAGCAGGAATTGCACATACATCATTGCCAGGGTCATTTTCCCTTCTAATACCGCCAACTTCGCACGTATTGACCGTAACCTATATTGGCCATTCATGATCTCATTTTCTTGGAACTCCCAAGCATCAGAAAGCTTCTGCAAATCCTCAGAGGAGCTTTCATAACCCTAGGGCCCAAAAAAAAAAAAAAAAAAAACAGGATTAAAAGTTGATCCAGATGACCTACTCAAAGAGTCTAAAATGTGGTCACAGGATTAAAAAAATCTTCCAGAGTAACTGCATGAAATAGTGAATCTTCTAAATTTGAGAGAATGAAAGCAAACTTTGTTCACAGCTGATATCTCATTAAGTTTCACTAAGCAATAACTAATATATTAATAGCAAGATCACAAAAAAAGGTAAATTCATGATCCTAATTGATGAAGTGTTATGGCCAGAATCAATCTCATGAAACATTCAATCATTCACATTTTTTTTATGAGAATCAGTCACATTTTTATGAACCACAATCATCATTAAAGTATGAGTGTGACAATTAAAATTAAATAAGTACATTCAACCAACTTGCAACTTCTAATGCACTTCTTTTGTCAAAGAAACACAATTTTTTAATACAGTTCTTTAACAATAGTTATTAAACATTCACACAAATTGTTTACCAAATTTATGTACATCAAGATCAGATCACTCGCCTTTGGTAACACAACTTCACCAGTATTAGACCTCACTGAGTGAAGTACAGATGAAAGCTCCGACTCCAATTGTTGAAGTCGACTTTTTATTTGATTGCTACTAATCCCTACTTTTTGCCCGTTCGAATGTTCATTGCATTGCTCTTTTACTTCAAGTATTCCATCCCCTGAAACATTCATTGGTCCTTCCTCCTTGGAGACAATTTCAGCAGCTGTACAGTGTATTTGCAAAAAGATGTCAGCTGATCTGAACTGTCAAGCCATGATGCCACCAGAAACTAACAAATGGGCTACCTTTGAGATCCATGCTCGAAAAGTCTGCCCTTTGAGAGCTCCAAGTTCTCCACGTTTCTGGCTTAAGTGAGTTTCCTAACCTATTAAGATCTGAGAGAGATGGCTTGCCCCTTGCATTATTGATTATGCCTCCACCAGAGCTTAATGATGCAGGTCTACTGGTTCTTCCAAGACCAGCAACTGCCTTTTGCAACATAACAACACAACAAGTTTTGATTTAAAATGATCTCATGACTGCACTCACCAACACCCCATTCCAATAGTTTATTTATTGCTTCAAAAGCACATCTTATTGTTTACCCAAGGAAGATAAATAAAGTTGTAGATGCAACCAATATAATTCTAAGATGGGAAACCTAAATCTATGACTAAGAATGCATATAGAATACTACTAGTGTCAAAAAACCTAGTTTATATTGTACACAACTGTAAGTACCACCACAAGTTATAAAAGAAAATGATAATTGAAACTGAATTTAAAGAAACAAAACCAACTTACCATATTGTTGGATGTTCTTTCAAGCCAGTCATCTTCATGATCATCACATTGGTTAGGAGAAGCTTTCCCTTTCTCCCTGGAATTGAACCCAAAATTAATATTCCTCTCTTTTTCTAACCGGCTTAGTATACCCTCAATCCCAGAATCTTCCTCGGCTGTAGCTTCCCTGGGCAAACAGATCATAAATGTTAAAGAACCTTCCAGTGACATTTACCAACCCATTTCGTGACTAAAACATAAGGAATGAAAAACTTGGAATCTTACAAAATTCTGGGATGTAAATAGACAATTTCTTTCTGTTCAATTTCTGAAGTGCTTATTAGTTTAAATGAACCAAGATGAAGGAAAATAAACGAAAAGTTTTATTCCAGCAAAAGAGTTAACACTCAGCTATTTGCTCATTTTAAGATTAAACCAAAAGCGAAAAAGATCGAAAACAAAAAATGTCCTTTCAACATCAACATGCTTTCATATCCCATCTCAATACTCCAGGCCAATTCTCAGTATGAATTTTTTTTCCAGGAACCAAGGTTTTATAGCTGGTGTAATTTTGTAATTTCGTATAATATATATAACAGTTAATCCAAAAATCAGGGAAATTGAGCAACGAAAAATAAAAATTTTAAAAAAAAAATAAAATTAGAAGCTCACAATGATCTACCAGACGAGGAAGCCGGACCAGAGGAACTAACGGCAAAAGATGAAACGCTACATCTACCAACTTCATTGCCCTCCAAAGCACTGTCTTTTTCCCCACTCTGAACCCACTCTTTAACAGAAACATTTTTGTAATCTTCCACATTCATTAAATCCCAATCTTTAACCTCAACTTCATCTACTTTATGTTCGTCATTATCCAAATCCCAACCAAAAGTCAGCCACCCACCTTGCCTTGTAATGGCCTCGACAAGATCCATCCTTCCCGCATCCATTAACTGTTTCTTAGTAGGAAACCTCTCAGGATTCTCAGAACTCTTCATAAACTCCAAAATCGCAGCCTCCAAACCTAAATCTCCTTCACCCTGCCAATCTTTCTGCAAACTAAAACAAGAAGAACCCCTATAATTCCTCTTCTTGACCTCAACAAAACCCACAAAAGACCAACCACTTCCCCTCTCTTTTGCAGCCACAGCAAGATTACAAGAAACACCTAGCTCTTGCTTGGTGGGTCTGGTTCTCGGGTTACAAACAGAAACCCAGGAAGGAAGCGTATGGAAATTCAAATCCGTAGGGGAATAAGGGGAGGGAAATAAATGATTAGAAGCGGTTGTGAATGAGACCATGGTTCAGGCATTTCGTTGAACACTTTGCGTAGGCTGAATCTTTAATTAAATAAATGTTGTTGATAGAGAGGAGGGCAATAAGGAATTGAGTGACAAGTGAGGGAGAGGAGAGTAGAGGAGAGGAGAGGAGGCAAGCAACGAACAATACTCTGAAAAGCGCAACAAACAATTAAGGAATTGTCGTTAACTCATAAAAATGACTAGTGAATTTTTTTCAGTTTATAATAATATTATTATTTTTTTTTTCCATTTATTTGGCCAAATAGATAAGGTGGTGCCAAAAAGGGTTTATTTTCGTGTTATTGTTTGGAATTTATACCGTCCGAAAGGAGACGCCTGAAGTTTAGTGAATTAACCAAAGACTCATAATTTTTAGAATGAAATATTTACACCCTTATATTTGATGAAATATTATCATTTCATTTTATTACTTGATAAAAGATCATTATACCTAAGATTGCATCAGAAAACAATTACTAGGTGGCCTGTTAGTAAAAGAACAATTCAGGATTTAACATGATCTCCCAAGTTCGAGTCTCTTTGATGGTAAAAGAGTACGAAAAAGATTTAATATGGTATCCTAAATTCAAGTCCCCTTGAAAATAAAAAAGTCAAAGGAGAATCTAACATGGTCTCCTGAATTCGAGTTCTCACAATTGTTAATAGGGGTGACTACTAAAACTCTTACTCGACTGGTAATTTTAGGGTCTCGAGAGATTAGTTGAGGTACGCATAAACTGATCTGAATACTTTTAGTAAAAAAAAAAAAAAATCGTATCAGGACTAACTTTTGACAAATATTGTAATAATCAATTAAAAGGGTGTAAACGTTTTTATTTTAAAACATGTGGGTGTCTTGACCACCAAATGTTAGGAAAAGACCTGCACAAACAAAGGAGGCTGAGGATATATTTGTTTGATATGGGAGCAGAGAAAGAAATAAATAAAGGCGACCACGTGATTTGTGAATTTATGATAGTTGACAATTGAGTAGTGGTTTACGTGTCCTAAGAGATTGAGACACCTGAGAGTATATGGGAATTGATTCCATGTTTGGCAGAGCACGGCACTTTAGTGTAATAGTGTTGTGTTAAAAAGGGCATTTTCCTATGACTCCTCAAGGGAACAATTTACTTATATATTATTCAAAAGATTCACTTTACTGAATAAAATATTATTTAAATTTATATGTTAATGCATGTATTAAATGTCTGTTTAATGTGTATTAAATGTTATCTCTATAAATAAAAAGGGTTCTCTTCCTATTAAGAGAGAAGGGATTATGAAAAATTTCTTACATATTTCTCTAGCTCTTACACTGTTCTCTTGAGTAAAATCTCTTGCATACATTTCTCTTTTGCACATTTCTTTTATGTTTCTTTCATACTTTTAAATCTTCCTTCAACTTCAAGGGTATAATAATATTCTGATAATGGTAAGAATAGCAAAAAGACCTCATATATTATCTTCATTTGTGTTTCTAATGTGTTTTTATTTCCACAAGCCATTTTAGATGATGTTAAAATATGTGTGACTGTAAGTATGTATGGGATAAGAGGAGGGTCTTAACCATAGATTCGACCAATCGTCATGTTGATAGACTTCTATGTAGGTCAACTATCATAGCTTTCCACATGCATAAAGTCCATAATCTTTTGGCCCCATCTCTAAATTTAAATTAAAAAAAAAATGTTTTGTTGATGTGATAATTTGTACCAACAAGAGATACTCAATCAGCCTTGGAGGGGATCAGACAAGATGTGCACGTGATTACTAATAACCAGTAAGGTCGTTAAAATGACGTAATAAAGAAAAGAACAAAATATATTTTACAGTGGTTCGACGGTATCCATTGTCATGTTATTATATTGCAGGGTGTTACAAGGTCGAATGAGGTTACAAAGGGACGATTGCGAGATTAATGGAAGACATTTAGCTATCGCGGCCTATTCTCTCTAAAAAGATCAATGCTAATATTGGAATCCCCTAAAACAGAGACTATAGGCTCCTTTTATACTCATCTCTTCTGAAAGTGGTTTACAGTAGGTGTTATGGGGTTACTTGTATGCATAATCCCCCTAATTAGGATCTGAGTCAATAATTCTCATGCTTGTGATAGACCGAGCCATCCTAATGACAACTTAACCCATATTTATGATAGTAATCACCTTATGAATAAAGGCAAACGACAATAGAATGACATGTGAAAGGATTTTGATCATCGGGCTTTGATGTATCTTAGGGATACTCGACACAAATTTGACCGTCATGGAATTAGGCATAACATGCATAAATTGAAATAGTTTGAAAATGTTTGTTAAGAGTAAACGACATATTCCCACCCAAGGTTTGACGAAATCCCAAGTTGGTACCCCATGTTACATTTATTCCAAATTCCCACCCTTAAAGTGATGAAAAAATGTTTGATGTAACGGTAAAGGGGTAAATTGGTCATTTTACATGGGCGGCTTACATTACCAGACTGCCGCCTTTAACAGTCCTTCAACACACGTTAGCAGACGGCGTCCCCGATTTTTTTGCCCTTTTTCCAATGATTCTTCCACCAAAAATCACCATTGTCACCACCATTTGAACCTCTATCCTCCCCTCTACAAAACCATACCCTTTACAACCCCTCATCACTAGCTGATTGTCGGCCACGACAGCCGCGACATGCGACTGATTTTTGCCGGTTTCCAGCTGTTTTGAACGGCGAAAACCCCAACCACCACCACAATTTGACTCCTCGCATCCTCCCCTACAAAACCCCTAACCTTCCCAGCCACGACAACTCACCGTTTGCCGTCCACCACTTCACCAAAAAACGGCCGATAAACACGAACTCTCAGCGACGAAACGGTTGCTAGGGACATAGGGGTTTTATAGATTTGGAGACAGTGGTTGCAGTGGTGGTGTCAAATTGGATTTTCGCTGCCGGAATCGACTGAAATCCAGTGAAGAACACTGAAACCCTAAGCCTAACGACGCTGGCTATTGGAGGGGCCAATGAGTCGGGAACCAGAGGGGTTTTGGACGACAGACTACGGGGAAGGTGATGGAGGTGACCACGGGGTTCGAGGGTGTGTAGTGATCGAGGGTGTTTTTGACATAATTTGAAAATAAAATGGTAAGTTTATAATTCTACTAATTTAGGGGTTAAAACATAATTTATTAATTTAGGGTTAAGGGTATTATGGTAATTGCATCTTCTAAACCCTAAAAATTGCTAACACTGTTATTTTAAAGGTAAGAATTTAAAATAAATATAACATGAGGTATCAACTTGAGATTTTGTCAAATCTTGGATGGGAATATGTCGTTTACTCGTTTGTTAATGGAGTTGGTACATATGTTGAAAGCATGAGACGGAGGGGTGTGGTGTATGAAAGCGTATTGAGTTCAAACATAGAAGACGACAATAATAATAAATAATATCCATCAGAGTTAAAAAGCGACGTGCTGATATATATCTCCCCGACGACGTGATTCTCAATCAATAAAACTCCACCACTTAAAAAAAAAGGCAAACAAACACCCCCACTCTTGTCTGTCTTCGTGTTCATGGTTTCAATCAATCAATCAATCATCATGGAGACATGGACCATTGATGAAAACTTCAAATAGAAGTTGGGTTTTTCCCTGCATGAATGGAAATGGCCCTGATGAAGCTTTGAGAGAGAGAGAGAGAGAGAGAGAGAGAGAGGGAAAATTGTAGGGTAGTGAATTGATGGATTGGAGCATGGTTAAGTTAATTTCTTGTCATCAATTGGCTGCTGGCCTCACTATCAAACAAGGAAAATCAAAAGCAACCCCATTACATAAAAGTGATTGTCAAACCATGTCCAACTACTGAAAAAGATTTCTCTACTCAAATTAAACTAAAAAACTCTAATTACAATGGCCTAGGGTTTTTGGGACCAAGCCAATAACTGGTTTAGATTGCTACATATCATGTTTTTGTTTTTTATTACAATCAAGAAAACGAATAACTGAAGAATTAGTAAATACTAATAATTGAACACCACACAATACTCATCATGCATTGTATAAACATGAATCATGTTTCCTTCTTTATACCTCAAATCTCCCTATAGCTAGATACGTAATATGAATTACCACTGGGTGATCTGATGGTAAAAGAACAAATGTGAATTTAACATGATCTTCGAAGTTCGAGTCCCTTTGATGGTAAAAGAACAAGAGAATGATCTAATATGGTCTCTCAAGAGGAGGATTTAATATGGTCTTCCAAGTTCGAATCCTTTTGAAAGTAAAAGAGCAAGAGGATGATCTAACCTAGTCTCCCGAGTTTGAGTTCCCACGGTTGCTAATAGGGGTGACCACTAAAGCTCGTACTCGACCGATAGTTCTAAGATTCTAAAAAATTAGTAAAAGTACGTGTAAACTGACCCAGACACCTAAAAAAAAACGTAATATGTACCCACAGGTCTTGTAATTATCGACAATTATAGTAAGTTAATTTTGATAAAAAGTGTTTGTTGGTTTACAAAGAGTTATAAAAAATAGAATATTAAACAATATTTATAAATGAATTTAAAAAAAAAAATTAATTTATTAAAATTGAGACTTACGAAGAGATTTAAAAGAATATTCTAAAATAATACACATAACTATATTACAAAATTAGACCCAGAAGTGACTTAACTTAAATTGCAACGGATCAATGAAAAATACATAGCTTTCTACAAGTATTGTTAAAATATGGATTGGGCTTCCAGCAAGCCCTGAAGGCTGAAAATGCGGCATGCCTCTTGGTCCCAGGTTTCAAATTCAGCTGCTTCAGACACCGTCTTAACAATACTCACAATAGCCTCTCCTCGTATTGGTACTTAAAAAAAAATCAATTGAGCATAAAAAATTTGGCCACAAATTCGGCATTTCTATATATATGGATGCATTAGCGCTCATTTTCACACACAATCCTTTGCTCTTTTGGGTGTTTTTCTTCGATTATATTTATGCATTCAATTGAGCAACAGATTTAACGGTAGAATCACAAACCTTGTCTCATCAACGACAAACATAGATATATTTATCGACAGGGAATAATGGTGATTGTGATATTCTCCGCGGTTGTGCCACTCCTAGTTGCACTGATGAACTGAGAAACCATAGCCAATGCATATATATATGTATGTCTTTTGGGTTTGTCCTACTCTAATTCATCGAAACTTGAATTTACATTTTAACCCAATCCATGGAGGCTATGCAGCATCCCAGTCAAATGCCTGGTAAATATTATCTCAGTGTTGGCGTCTGCTATTTTGAGCTTCCTTGGAATGTTTCTTGTGCCAAAAGCCATGAGAATGGACCGACATCTTGAACTCAAATTTGAGATCCCAGCTCCTTCAGTTAATGTTGTGAAACTCATCGTTATGGTTATATTTATCCCAATCTGCGATCGTTACCTGGTGCCAACACTTGAAAGAATCATCAAACAAGAAGGTGGGAATAGTACTCTTCTCCACAGAATCGATTTACTTGGGAAATCTATTTTCTCAATCCTGTCAATTGTAGTTGCTTGTTTTATTGAAAGGATAAGAGATGGGTTTCGGCTATTAATTATTTGCATGCTAACCATAATTAATGGGGTTTCACCCATCTCAATCTTGTTGTTTTTTTTCCCCTGATCACATGAGAAGTTTTTTAAACTTTCTAGTCCTTTCACTATCTTTGTAAAAAAAACCTATGTGCAGTTCAGCAAACAAAGCTGAACATTAAATTTCTGCAGTATCATCTTTTATTCCTCTGTTCTAGTTTTCATTTCTAAAGCAACACTTTCATTCTTGTTTTCTCGTATATATATTGTGTGTATGAGACAAAGCTGAAAATACAGACGATAACAAAATCAAGCAGTTGGATTCTATACTGCATTTAGGCCTTAATTATCATTAATGTAAACTGTGGTTAATATGCAGATTCCAACAAAATGCATGGACCAACCTGCGTCTGGTTGAGATTTATTTTACGAAACAAAACTTGGATTATCCATATATACATATTACGTCCAAATTAAGGACCGTTTATCTATCTTATATAAGAAATTAATATTCTCATATATAGGCGAGTCAAATACGGCAAACATAAGTTGCAGCTCTACTGAATACATAGTTTTTGTCCAAACTCAAAATTAATTCCCTGTATCCTGTTCATTTACTCAACTTATACAGTCCAGATCGGATAATGACTTTGTGGTTCTATTCTCATAAATGTTGTTAATCTTTTTATCATCAATTCAAATTTCCACAATGAAGAAGATGAAGAAATAAGAAATTATAATAATTTCCAAGTCTTGATCAAAAATTTCTAAATGAGGGACCTCTTTTGTCTGGTGGAAATGAAAATGAAGAAGATGGTAGATTGTGAGTTAAAGAGTTGACGTTGAGCAGCACAAAGGAAGTTTGGCTTTCTGTGAAGCTGACTCCACATTGCACCACCATTTTAATTTTGTCTTTATACGATTGATTAGACATGAGTTAGGCTTCTACTTGTGTGATTCTGGTCAATTTATTCGCATGATAGATGGATTCATTAGTCAAAAAAGTATCTTCATATCATACCATACTATACTACACATTTTGTTAATACGTGAAAGGTTCTACATATATTATAAATTATAAAAAGCATACACATATAATACAAATAACTCATGCCCTTTTTGACTGAGACTTGTATTCTAAATACAGATGTATTTATATATATAATCTTTACAGAATACAGATGTTATCCATAATATCACTAACAAAAACATTCCATTCTGTCATCTATCTACAATTTGTGGAGTATAAAATTGTTATGTTTTGGGAGTATTAGTCTTTATCCAATAATTGTTTTGAAGAAAACATACATACATATACACAATAATACATACATATATATAAGACCCCTGTATCTCATCTTGTATAATAGTAGATAATTATATGTACGTTACTGGGTGTACACAGTAAATGCATAGTAATATACTATACACCATTTCCAGTGATTATCAAATGATGTGGTAAGTGGAGGAAAACAGTAAAAAGAACAAGACATTTTTGTAAAACCGTCTGCTCCAATTACAACATACTTGAAAAAAATTTAAAAGAAAGATAATTTGGAAATGGAGGCATTGGCATTGTCGGGCCCCCCCACTTCCGGTGACTAAAAGCTAACCTTCCAAATACGTAACAATCTTGTTAAGTTTTTTTGTCAGTGCATGTGGTGGAACCTTTCGAGGTGAAGCTGCTGCCTGAATTTTCACACGTCTTTACTTCTATAATGTTTCCCCGTTACTATCAGTTTGTCACCCATTCCATCGTCCCCTGCTTTCTTTATTGCATTAAAATTTTGGGTCCATCACATTTATTAATGTCTATATAATATATTAAACTTTATAAAATTGTATATATATAGCTTCCTTTTTTTTTTTTATATATATATATATATTATAAGTAACTCGAATTGATATTCGCATTTAAGTCAAATAATTGAGGTTTAGATTTAAAAAAAAAAAATGATAAAAATGATTGAATATATTCATATATCTTAAAAACTAGCAGCATAATAATGATAGTTAGATGGATAAGAAAAATAAAATATAATTTTATTGGACAAGAATAAAGGTTGATGATCGCGTGGCAGATTGGTCCTATTTCAGTATTTTCCTCCCTCGATACTGTCATATATATATATGTGTGTGCTATGGCCTGGTTTGGACAGAGATAACTAGCTTAAGAACTGAAACGCTAGCTTTTCTCACGCCTTGAAAAGAGTGGAGGATAGAGGTGAAGTAAGAAAATTCCCAAGTAGGAAAAAAATCATGGTAGCCGGGGATAAAAACGAGGCAAGCTCATTTTCCTTATACTGTCTGACAAAATGTTTTCAAAAACCAGTAACGTCCACCCTTGCAGAGAAGGGACAAGATCAGCCGGAAGGAATGCATGGCAAGGGTTTGTCAGATTCAAAGAAAGTAACACAGAAGAAGCCTGGAGGATGGAAATCCATGCCTTTCATCTTAGGTAATTCTCTAACTCTCTCTTTTTTGCCATTATAGCTAGAGAATTGTTGTTTTGCTGACTAAAACTGATGTGCAGGAAATGAAACATTTGAGAGGTTAGCAACGTTTGGATTGCTGGCCAATTTTACAGTTTATTTGGTGAAACAGCTTTCTCTGGAGCAGGTTGTGGCTGTAAACATTATGAATATCTGGTCGGGTATTACTAATTTTGCACCTCTGCTTGGTGCCTTTGTCTCCGATGCCTATGTCGGCAGATTTAAAACTATTGCTTTTTCCTCCTTTGCATCTCTACTGGTAAATTAACTTTCTTTCTTCTTCACAAATTACCTCATCATCATCTCTAAATTTCATGTTCTACATATTAAAAACCAGAGCTTCAGTGAAAAGCCTTAATTAATTAATGAGACAAGAGAAAAAACTTTGTTCCCATCTATCTGAGTAGGCGAACCTCACAATTATGTGGTCTGTAAAAGATGCATGTGGTCTGAGAGAAATGGTTTTACCTTTCATTTCTGATTTGTTGTACACGTAGTGGATAACAAAGCTGCAGCCGGTTTCTAGGCCTGTTTTGGAATGACCTGGCTTGTCAANACTACACATTTTGTTAATACGTGAAAGGTTCGACATATATTATAAATTATAAAAAGCATACACATATAATACAAATAACTCATGCCCTTTTTGACTGAGACTTGTATTCTAAATACAGATGTATTTATATATATAATCTTTACAGAATACAGATGTTATCCATAAAATCACTAACAAAAACATTCCATTCTGTCATCTATCTACAATTTGTGGAGTATAAAATTGTTATGTTTTGGGAGTATTAGTCTTTATCCAATAATTGTTTTGAAGAAAACATACATACATATACACAATAATACATACATATATATAAGACCCCTGTATCTCATCTTGTATAATAGTAGATAATTATATGTACGTTACTGGGTGTACACAGTACATGCATAGTAATATACCATACATCATTTCCAGTGATTAGCAAATAATGTGGTAAGTGGAGGAAAACAGTAAAAAGAACAAGACATTTTTGTAAAACCGTCTGCTCCAATTACAACATACTTGAAAAAAATTTAAAAGAAAGATAATTTGGAAATGGAGGCATTGGCATTGTCGGGCCCCCCCACTTCCGGTGACTAAAAGCTAACCTTCCAAATACGTAACAATCTTGTTAAGTTTTTTTGTCAGTGCATGTGGTGGAACCTTTCGAGGTGAAGCTGCTGCCTGAATTTTCACACGTCTTTACTTCTATAATGTTTCCCCGTTACTATCAGTTTGTCACCCATTCCATCGTCCCCTGCTTTCTTTATTGCATTAAAATTTTGGGTCCATCACATTTATTAATGTCTATATAATATATTAAACTTTATAAAATTGTATATATATAGCTTCCTTTTTTTTTTTTATATATATATATATATTATAAGTAACTCGAATTGATATTCGCATTTAAGTCAAATAATTGAGGTTTAGATTTAAAAAAAAAAAATGATAAAAATGATTGAATATATTCATATATCTTAAAAACTAGCAGCATAATAATGATAGTTAGATGGATAAGAAAAATAAAATATAATTTTATTGGACAAGAATAAAGGTTGATGATCGCGTGGCAGATTGGTCCTATTTCAGTATTTTCCTCCCTCGATACTGTCATATATATATATGTGTGTGCTATGGCCTGGTTTGGACAGAGATAACTAGCTTAAGAACTGAAACGCTAGCTTTTCTCACGCCTTGAAAAGAGTGGAGGATAGAGGTGAAGTAAGAAAATTCCCAAGTAGGAAAAAAATCATGGTAGCCGGGGATAAAAACGAGGCAAGCTCATTTTCCTTATACTGTCTGACAAAATGTTTTCAAAAACCAGTAACGTCCACCCTTGCAGAGAAGGGACAAGATCAGCCGGAAGGAATGCATGGCAAGGGTTTGTCAGATTCAAAGAAAGTAACACAGAAGAAGCCTGGAGGATGGAAATCCATGCCTTTCATCTTAGGTAATTCTCTAACTCTCTCTTTTTTGCCATTATAGCTAGAGAATTGTTGTTTTGCTGACTAAAACTGATGTGCAGGAAATGAAACATTTGAGAGGTTAGCAACGTTTGGATTGCTGGCCAATTTTACAGTTTATTTGGTGAAACAGCTTTCTCTGGAGCAGGTTGTGGCTGTAAACATTATGAATATCTGGTCGGGTATTACTAATTTTGCACCTCTGCTTGGTGCCTTTGTCTCCGATGCCTATGTCGGCAGATTTAAAACTATTGCTTTTTCCTCCTTTGCATCTCTACTGGTAAATTAACTTTCTTTCTTCTTCACAAATTACCTCATCATCATCTCTAAATTTCATGTTCTACATATTAAAAACCAGAGCTTCAGTGAAAAGCCTTAATTAATTAATGAGACAAGAGAAAAAACTTTGTTCCCATCTATCTGAGTAGGCGAACCTCACAATTATGTGGTCTGTAAAAGATGCATGTGGTCTGAGAGAAATGGTTTTACCTTTCATTTCTGATTTGTTGTACACGTAGTGGATAACAAAGCTGCAGCCGGTTTCTAGGCCTGTTTTGGAATGACCTGGCTTGTTAATTTGTTCGATATATGTATATTTTAATAATATGGCGACGACACCAATCATATAGTTTCTTTTGGTACAAATTATTAACTCTGCATGTGAATCATACGTCACACCTAAAATTTGCTCGACAAGGGTCCCAAAACAGTCTATCACAGTCAAAGTTTTTTTTTTTAATTTTTATTTCCGGTCTTTTTAAGATAATATAGAAAGAAAATCTCTTAATTTCTAATGAATTCCATTAGTTTGATCCACTTCGTCTAGTATGCATACATCAGTTACTTGTAATAAGAAAGAATAACCGATCGAGACTTCTAAACTATTTAATTAATGGTTTTTTCCCCCAAGAGAACTTTGACGTTTACCCTTTTTGTCATGTACATGAGTACATCTGTTTCGCAGCCACCTGAATTTAATATTAATGACAACCTCATTTTTTTTCATTTATTTGTCTGAATTTCGCCTTCTCCTGTGCTTTGATTATGTAATTATAATATACAATTCAATCGCTTGCTCATTTTAAGCAACAAATGATAAACTATTGACTAATCTTTTGTCATTTCTTTAAACAAGAAGATTAAAATATAGCGGTGATGATCTGTAATTTGACTATTGTCAGGGAATGATGACGGTGACGTTAACCGCATGGTTGCCACAGCTGCATCCTCCGAAATGCAACGCCGGACAACAATCTCTCGGTCAATGCAAAAGTGCTAGCAAAACTCAACTGGGTGTTCTCCTAATGGGTCTTTGCTTTTTATCAATCGGCACCGGTGGAATTAGGCCCTGCAGCATTCCATTTGGTGTCGATCAGTTTGATCCAACCACTGAAGAAGGTGTTAAAGGAATTACTAGCTTCTTTAATTGGTATTACACTACATTTACAGTGGTTATTTTGTTCACTCTAACTGTGGTGGTTTATATTCAAACCTCGGTGAGTTGGGTATTGGGATTTGGAATTCCTACCATACTCATGGTGTGTTCAATCGTTCTATTTTTCATTGGAACAAAACTTTATGTATATGTCGAACCAGAAGGCAGCATCTTTTCAGGCATTGCACAAGTGCTTGTTTCAGCCTATAAGAAACGAAAACTTAAGGTTCCAGAAGGAGAGTTTGATGAGATTGATTTCTACGATCCTCCATTAAAAGCCACAGTTTTGTCAAAGCTACCTCTCACCAACCAGTTCAGGTGACAAATTCCTATTACGAAATATCTGTTTTATTATATTGTTAAATTGATTGCTGAAGTATTTACCTACTTCCTTAATATCTTAGGATATGAATGGAAAGAGACTTTGATGTTACATGTATTCAATTTGCATGGTTATTGTAGCAATTAATTAATTCTACTTGTCATTTGATATTTTCTGATCAGATTCTTAAACAAAGCCGCTATGATAGTGGACGATAAGGAACTTAATAGTGATGGATCTCCCACTAATCATTGGAGGCTCTGCAGCATCCAACAAGTAGAAGAAGTCAAGTGCCTAATAAAGATCATCCCCATATGGGCTTCTGGAATTATTTGCTTCACTTCCATTACACAACAAGGAACTTTCACCGTGTTACAAGCCTTGAAAATGGACAGGCACCTTGGACCCAATTTTCAAATCCCTGCAGGCTCTATCTCCATCATATCCATGCTGACTATAGGAATTTGGCTCCCAATCTATGATCGCCTAATAGTCCCATCTCTCCGTAAAGTCACCAAACATGATGGAGGTATCACTCTTCTGCAAAGAATCGGAATTGGGATCGTATTTTCAGTTCTATCAATGGTAGTCGCAGGACTAATCGAAAAAGAGAGAAGGGCTGCAGCCAATTCGCATCCAAACCCACTTGGCATTGCCCCCGTGTCTGTTATGTGGCTAGCTCCTCAACTTATACTAATGGGATTCTGTGAAGCGTTCAATATAATCGGACAGATTGAATTCTTCAATCAACAGTTCCCCGATCACATGAGAAGTATAGCCAATTCTCTTATTTCCTGTTCCTTTGGAGGCGCAAGTTACTTGAGTAGCTTGCTGGTCACCGTAGTGCATGCAGTCACGGGAAGCCATAGCCACCCGGATTGGTTGACTAATGACATTAATGCAGGGAGATTAGATTATTTCTACTATGTTATTGCCGGGATGGGAGTCGTTAACTTTATCTATTTTCTCTACTGTGCACATCGGTATCGTTACAAAGGTAGTGTCCAAGTAGAGGATCAAAAAACCTTCCATGATCTTGAGTTGGTTCAATCAACCACGAAGTGAGAGAAATTAAATATTAAATAATGTAGCTTGCAGCTAGTAATAATATATAGAAACGTTGGAGAAGAATCTAAATAGGATAGTGTTTATTTCAGTCGTTATCTATTTGTTTTAGCTCTTCTATGAGACATTGAATAAGAGATATACATATGTAAAAAAGATATTTGCGCAATATAATATATTGAGCTGCCTTTTATGTCAATGAATTGTTGGATCATGAGTATGGAGTGCATTGGAAACTGAAAAATGAAAATTGATAAACCACAAAATAGACACAACAACTAGATCTCTGCTGCATCATGAAATTAATACTTTTCAAAATTAAAGCGCAAAACCTTGTGATCAAATAAGTGGGCATGAAGTAGTATTCGAGTTTGTGGTGTAGAAGAGAGACTAGGTTATGTTACCCATGCACCGACTGAAGATGGCTTGTTTGGAGGTTTCTCTTTGTATTTGATGACGATGCGTACTGCTTAAAAATTATAGATGCTTATCTCGTGGTCATCCTTGCTGCTTCTTCTCTGCCATGCGCTGCATCGGAGTTTCTGGTTAACCATGACAAGTAAATTTTGGTTTCATCTGCCTTTCTCTTTTCACACACTTGATATTTTCCCCCTTTTTTGAGGACAGCTATCTTTACTTTAGCCTGCATGCGCACACCTAATTAAGCATTAAGCATAGTTAATATTCTCAAAATTTTAAGTTCACATATAGATATATTTTTTTTCGTCTTCATCTGAGGTCTTTTTCAAGTCTTAATCGAGATTAGTTGTGCAATTAAATACTGGAACAGGTAAGCATTAGCATATCTATAATAGATCCTTTGAAAACTGCGTTTTCGTTCTTCTGTTGAATTATATGACTAAGAGAGAACAAATTTGAAACGTCGTTTCGCCTTTCACCATCAAATAATCATATATGATCAGCATCACATCTACCTCAGAATCTAATTAAAATTTATCACATCATTGTCAATATAAATTTAATATAGGTAATACGTCTGTTTGTTAAGAGTTTTGAGCTTCAATTCTGAGGATAAACACAAAATTTAATTAATTAAGGTGGGTTTAGACTATATATAACATCATTAATGGAATTAACAGTTGAAACAGATCGCTTATGCTATTCAGTAATTGGGCAAAATGAAGTGCCTCCAAAGATAATATTCATAGTATATAATGATAACAATATCCACAATCTGTAGATACATATCTGAATTTCAGAAAGTGCAGGTTGCTGTGATTGAAACCTCACTGATATACATGAATCATAAAGTGATGAATGACTAAGAATGGCATACGGATAAGTTAATTGTTATCCTCATCTTTCAGAATGACCTGCACTGAAATTTTTGCCACTGTTATTTGCCTTTCCATTGATGTACGAACTAGTAACTCAATAGTGGGGTGTCTGTACTCTAATTTTCTCAATACATTTTCATTGAATATATAAAGATTCCAAATCACTTGCTGAAATTTCTTCAACCAGTTTATCATATCATCGATATATAAATATATATTGATCTGAACCACACACTCTCTGTTACTTGGACCACCCATTGAGAAGTCGCAAATATGAACAGACTTGTCACTGTTTGTAATTTGGTGTGGATGAATGTGTTTAAATTTGCAGTTGATATCTAGAGTATACTTATCAAATATCACCAATTCATGGTACCAGTGAGCTATAAAATATCGCATGCACGATTGATACTTAGTGGAATATGCATGTTTTGCAACATAAATTCAAACTAGAACTCATTGAATACTATTGTTTTTCAGGTTTTGATTTGATGTGTTGAAAAATTCTGCTTCTTTTTCTTTATAATGAGGATTTGGCATGATGTGATACCAAATTGGGTATGCATGAGATAGGTTTACGCATGTGGGATGAGAAAAAGGAAAGAGGTTGATATGATTGATAAATGGATGGTCTGAATATATATAATGTAGTTGGACCTGGGTTCAGTTAGGTAAGTGGGGAAGATTGCAGGTGTTGTAGTTATGGTGGAAGAGATCTAGAGATATTTTTGGTGGGTGATTAGGATGCTAGACGTCCACTGTGGAAAAAGTGAACGAGCCCAAGTTGGAATTGTATACTATGATTCGTGTTGGGAATGGGTTTGTGGAAAGTAAAATCAAAATTAAAGTAATTAAGCCCACCGCCCTAACCTCTAATACTAGACTTAATGAATACTTTTCTGATTATGTTAATGTTACGGGAAAAATGCTCTTTTATGCACCAAAATGAAAACGAAAAGGTTAGGATTAACAGCTAACCACGTGGATTAGGATTTGATATGACATCATCGACTACCAAATTATTATCATCTTTTTTCATTTTTTTAGCCTTTGTTGATAACTTCGATAAAGATGCCAACCCACTAGCTGGGTTCGCACTCTTTGATGACTGGGCCTCTAAACTAATTCTATTATATTATTAATTAATTCGATATAATACAAACTTTATAGATTATTATTTAGAGTGTGTTTGTTTTATTATTTTAGATATGATTTTTGAAAAAGTTAGAATTTGGTTGTTATTATAATATAGGATTTAAAAATTAATAAAAACATCCCTTTAAGTTTGTTATTTTAGCTAAACACCCCTATAATAAAATATTAAAAATTAACAAAAACACCCTCATCGACCTATTAAATGCCAACAGCCCGCCACCACCTTTGTAGGGTGGCCGAAGTCACCGTATCGATACACGATCAGCTATATTTGGCCACTCATGCGTCGATATGGCCTTTTCTAACCGGACACACTGTGGATCTGACTGAAAAATGTCAAATCCATGACCAGATCTAACTATTAATAGCCAGATCTGGCCACGTTTGGTCTTCAACGACATCCAAAGATATGGCCATCGTTGATGGATATGGCCGTTGTTGATGACCAGCTACAGCTAAAGATCTATTCGTCAACGGCTAAATATTTGGCCGTAGATCTGGCTTTTTCAACCAGATGGTGGATCTGGCTGAAAAATCTATATTGGCGCACTACTGGCCAGATCTAGCCGGTAGTGCGCCATTATACCAGATTTTGGCCACCTTTCGGCGATGGTGGCTGGAATCTAGCAAATGTGGGTGGGTGGGTGGGGGTATTTTCGTTAATTTCTAAACTTTTTTGGGGGATGTTTAGTTAAATTAACAAACCTAGGGGCTTTAAAATCGTTGAATAAAATAGAATAGGATTTTCGGAATAGGGAAACAAATGCGTACTTTGGGTAGGGCTGTGCAAAGCCGGGTACCCGAACCGGTTTTGCCCGAAAAACCAGGTACCCCAAAAAGAATACCCGCAAACCGAACCGCTTTTAAGGGTATCCGAATTTTTGGGTACTCGAATATTCGGGTCAAAACCGGATACCCGGTTTATGACCCGAATTTGAATATTTTTGCATGAATTTTAATTTTTTACATTTCAAATTTCAATTTGTGAATACAATTTCTTCCATATACTAAATCAACTTTTAATTTAATAACTTAAATACTTAAGATTTGGGGTTTTTGCCTCTTGCTCTTTGAAAGTTAAAGGAAAAAAGGTTTAAAAACTAGGTTTTTTATTTTTTTTTAATTTTATTTCTTAATAAACCGAGTACCGGGTACCCGGTTCTCTTAAAATGAATAACCGATACCAGAACCGAAAATTAGGATATCACTTAGTAAATACCCAAAAATTCAGGATCGGTTCAGTTCAGTTAACGGTTTTTTTTGCACACCCCTAACTTTGGGTAGCATATGAATATGATAGTGCAAAAATAATGAAACAAACAGGCAATTGTTCTTGACTTGAGTCTCAAATGTCACAACAATTTTTAGGAAGTATTAATAAAAACATCTTGATTAGGATTTTTTTTTAAAGATATTTATAGAAAGATTGTAAATATTTTTAGGAGTAAACGACATGTTCCCACCCAAGGTTTAACGAAATGACAGGTTGATACCTTTGGTTTCATTTATTTTAGATTTCTACCCTTAAAGTAACATCGTTAATTTGGGGGTAATGGGGTTGACTTTTGGGCAGTAGCTAGGTGAGGACTTTAATCAAGCAGGTTAAGGACACTAATTTGGGTTTCGATTTTCGGCGATTGTGGAGTCACCAATGGCCAAAAAACACATAACAACAATCAACTGATGGTGGAGAAGCTGGTAGTGAAGTCTAGAGAGGTCGATTGTACCCAAATCGATCGGAAAAAGCTTGAGAAGTAACCCAATCTCACAAGGTGGCGAGAATGGACTTCGAAATCGGCTAGAAAAAGCCAAAAACCGTCAGCTTGGACATTGCTAACGTAAGCCTATCTCTACTAAAGAAAGCTAAAGTGCGCCACACTTAGAGCTGGTGATGGCCGTGCTGGCCCATGTGCCGACACAACCCACCTTAAAGTAGCCCAACATGGGTTGCCACAACACGAAAATTTTGGTGCCATGCCAAGGCCCACAATAATGTGGGTTGTGCCAGGGCCTTAAAAAAAGGCACGCGAGCGAGTTTAACAGATATTTCACTTTTTTTTTAATTTTTTAATTTTCCCTATAAATACCCTATTATTTTACTTATTTTTTCACGCTCCAATTCCAATCCTCATTTTCCTTTCTCTCTCAACTCTCAACTCTCAAGCTCTCATAATCTCTCTCAAATTCTCAATTTTTTTTGGTTAAATTTATTTTTAATTTTTAGTCAAATTTCAAATGGATCCAAATTCAAATAAATTTAATCCTTTTAACTATTTTCATAACGAGTCATCATCACAATAACCACAAAATATATCACAGTCACAACTGCCACCCCTAGAAAAGAAAAAGAAAGCAAAAGTCAATGGTTTGAGAGCATATTATTTAAATACAAGAAATAGTTCGTGGTGAAATTATGCGACGTGCAAAGATTGTGGTTCTAGTTTGGCCGGTGCGAGTACAGGTGGCACTGGGCATCTCCAGAGGCATATAAACGAGTATTGCAAAAAAATGCCACAACATTTAAAAGGGCAACAACAAATTTCATTTATAGTGCACCTACACTGGCATGTGATTCATTTGCTACTCAATCAAATACTATGATGGGCGAGATTTACAGCTTCATATATAGTCAACAAAACATAAAAGACTATATGGCCAGGTATGTTGTCGCAACCGATCAACCTTTTTCATATGGTGATGATCCAATTTTAAAATGGTATATGCAAAGTAGTGTACAACCTGCTTT